CTTTTTTTTTTACTAAGGAACCCTTGAAGAACCATCTTTTTTAAGTAGGAGTGTATATTTACAGTACATAATCGCAATACTAGGATTTTGTCCATACCATGCAGCCATATCTTCATGTGAGAACAAAGCACATCACAGTCACTGCTATATAATAACTCATCAATATTTAGGTGCTGCCCTTTTCGCTCTTCCCTCTAGACGCTCCACTGTAAAAGCCTGGCTCTAGTGCGCTGCTGTGGTGCTCATAAAGCCAGCTTATTATCATATATTAGCATATATTATTCTTATAGCTGTCATGGATAAAACACACACTGCTTAACCTCTGTGCTCTCAAGAGGGAAACAGTGAGGCTGAACGCAAGTCTCCATATGTATTGACTGATGTGTACGGACAGTCAGTGTAAACAGCAACTCAAACCACTAAATCTCTCAGGTTTTGGTCGGACTGTGACATTTATATTGAAGAAAGGCACGGGTTTTGGTTAGACATACAGATACATGCACAATGTTGTATCGTTTCTCAAATTGTCCTTATTTTCACTGATTTTTTATTGAGATTGGTAAGATTTAAATCACAAATCATAAAGTTTGGTCACATAAAACTTTTCAGAATTGGCCTTCACTGGACAAACAGACGAGGCTTCCCAGAACAAAACTGCACAACAAATAGTCGTCATATGGCAAAATTGATAGTAAAACCAACTTTCTGAGCAGAAGAACAGGAGTATGGATGACTGTCAATGGGTTACCCATGTTAGTGGAGCACATGATCCAGCTCCTATCAGTCACACAACTGATCAATGGCAACAGAACAATTTTAAATGCAAGTATAAAACTGCAAGATGTCTCACAAAACTGACGAAACTACTGTTCTATAGTGCGGTATAACGCCTCCATACTGATGTTTTTTATTATATGTTTTTGCTCCATATCTACTCCTGTAGTACTGACTGATCTATAATACCATGCTAACTTATAGTAACTGTCTGACTTTCCTAGAAGTCTCCTATAGGAATTCCTGTAGTGTTACTACTGATGTTTTTCCCAGCTAGTTGTGGTTTTTGGTCCTACATTGCAGTGGACTCGTATTCTCTATACACTGTTTTAAGGCCTAATACCTGCACTAAAGGCCACCAGTACAGCACAAGCGCTGAACATGAAGTTACTTTTTCCACCAGAAATCAAATCCACATTACAGCTCATGCATTCATCCATCACAAACAAACCAGAACCAGTCGAGTTATTCCATGAGATCTGTACCAAACGTGCATGTGAATCATGTATACCATCTTTTTTGGCTGCAAAATACAACTGAGAAGTACAACCCAACACACTGTGACGGTAGGAGAACGTTACAGGGTGGAATACTTCACGCGAAACTGGCCGCTACGTTCTACGTTAGCAGAGTCTGATCAGTTTGATCATCAACCACTGTAATAAACATTTCTGTTAATATTGCAAAACAAAGTAAACCTGTTTTCTCTATTTTGTGTGATGGGCTGGACTTGCTATGCCTGACAGATCCTCTCGAAAATGGAGAAAACAAAAATATCAATATTCAATAAAAGCTAAATTTACCAGCTTTTGAACACGGCTCCTCTGAAGACCTAAATGAGGCCACTCACTCGTCACTTAATGTGTCAGTACTTCATGCTTTGTTGAAATAAGCTGGTGTGATGGAGGAGAAGGCAAACACTCATTAAAACTGTTCTCATTTAAACTCAAACTGTTCTTAAAATTAATATTTTAGATTAAACTGATGTGCAATTCGAAAACTCTCAAAAACTCTGAATACAAATGATTTTTATTAAATATTTTGCATACTGTGTTGCACTGAATCCAGTTAAACGGGGCCAATGTTGCTGTCTTTATAATGACACGTGTAGCTGGTCAGACCAATCAGGCATAACATTATGACCACCTCCTTGTTTCTACACTCAATGTCCATTTTATCAGCTCCACTTACTATATAGGTGCACTTTGTAGTTCTACAGTTACAGACTGTAGTCCATCTGTTTCTCTGCATACTTTGTTAGCCCCCTTTTACCCTGTTCTTCAGTGGTCAGGACCCCCATGGACAGATAGAGACGATAGCTCATCTACTGCTGCACAGTTTGCGTTGGTCATCCTCTAGTCCTTCATCAGTGGTCACAGGACGCTGCCCAGAGGACGCTGTTGGCTGGATATATTTGGCTGGTGGACTATTCTCAGTCCAGCAGTGACACTGCTGTGTCTGACCCACTCAGACCAGTGCAACACACACTAACACACCACCACCACGTCAGTGTTACTGCAGTGCTGAGAATGATCCACCACCCAAATAGTACCTGCTCTGTGAGGGTCCATGGGGGTCCTGACCACTGAAGAACAGGGTAAAAGGGGGCTAATAAAGTATCAGAGAAACAGATGGACTACAGTCTGGAACTGTAGAACTACAAAGTGCACCTATATAGTAAGTGGAGCTGATAAAATGGACAATGAGCACAGAAACAAGAAGGTGGTCATAAATGTTATGCCTGATCGGTGTATATTGTCATACTGCCCAGCCCTACATGATATTACTGTTATGTAGTACCATTTGAATTTGGAACATGTAAAAATGTCAGTATCGCTAAAAAATATAAGAACTGCAGTTGTAAGTAGAGCTGACAGTAATTGTTATTGTGATAAATTACGCCATAATGTATCACAATATGCTTTTCTGAGTATATCCTGGATATTGTCCATACTTAAACACATCCTAACGGCTTGCTTGATTAAAAACAGAGCATAATTAGTCCTGGTTAACTTCTTTAACACAGAACTGCGTGTAAAACGATTTGTATTAATCACTGGATTCGTAGTTTTTGATAATATTTTTTAATGTGGCACCAACTTTGTCTGTTCCAACTTATCAGATATCAGCAAAAAAAAATATCATGACATTGGTATTAGGAAAACATCTTGAAGTATCCTGATGCCACATTTTTGCCACCTCAAAATTACACACATTTGAAGTTTGGAGGTCAATATTCGATTCGTTTTTTGATACATGTCCTCATTCTACAGTGCCCTAAATATACACAGCTAAGATGTTCACAGCGGTGGTGATAGGAACCAGACGTCCACCTCTAACAGCTCCCTCACAGGAAGTTACTTCATGAAGTGGTTAGAAGACACGTGTAGGTTCACGGGTGGTTTTGGATAGTAAATAAAACATCTATATTTGTGTTGTAGTCATGGTGACCCCTGGTTCCCATCACCACCACTGTAAAGACATCTGAACCATTTCACACCAAACCACTCTGAATCACTGTTTACAGCTCACACACTGAATTATGCAGAATTTTAAATGGTGGAATTCTAATTTAAATGTCTGTAAATGTCATTTAAGTATTTAAGTAAGATACGTATCCTGCATCAAACGCCTTTTTTAAAAACTGAGGGGTTATTCAGCGCAGGATCAATCTTCAGCCTCACATGAGCATCATGAGCACATGTTTACATCTCAAGGACTGTATTATTCAGAAATTTTGAAAAAAATGGTGGGATTCTCCTATAATGGTGAACTTTGAATGAGTATATTTAATCTTGAAAAACACTTGCCAGCATATTTCTGTCAATCAAATCAAATCACGTTTACTGTCACATCACGTTTACACAGGTGCCCGTAGCACTTGAATTAACGAAAAATAAAAATATAAGGGAAAAAAAGAAAAAAAAATTATATATCACCAAAAATGGTTCTTCTATTATTTCGATGTCAAACTTGTTATAACAGAAGAACCCTTTTAGGTGCTACATAGAACCAATTTCTAAAAATGCTCTATAAAGAACCCTTGAAGAAACATCTTTTTAAGGGTATATGTAACAGAGCTGGGCAATATTGCAGTATTTATTGTTATAGTGATAAATTACTTGACAGTGTATCATAATATGCTCTTCTGAGTATATCATTATATCGTTGGTACTTAAAGAACACTGAACAACTGCATATTTCATTAAAAAGAAGCGAAATCTGTCCTGTTTATTTGTTTTCGGTGCAGCACAGTGTGTAAAGTGTTGATTAATAATAAGTGTGTTCATAGATTTTGACAGAATATGACTCTGCTGGTTCTTTTTTGCCTTTAATGGTGAACTTTGAATGAGTACATTTCATCTTGAAAAACACTTTCTAGCACATTTCTGTGTCTTATATACGAATATATATATATATATATATATATATATATATATATATATGAATGATAGAGACTCTGTATGATAGAAATGGCACTGTTTTCATAGAATGACTCACGAACCACAGTACAGCTCACAGCTCTCACCTGAAAGTAGTAAGACTTTGTCATCCAATGGTTCTATATAGAGCCTTTAACACTCAAAGACACCTTTGCATGATTAAAGGGTTCTTTGCACCAGGAAAGGGTTCTTAAGAATGTGCTGTAGATGGTTCTATATAGAACCAAAAATGGCTCTTCTACTGTTACGATGTCAAACTTGTTGTAACAGAAGAACCCTTTTTGGTGCTACATAGAACCATTTCCTTTACTAAAGAACCCACTCTTTTTAAGTGCACATGTAACAGAGCTGGGCAATATTACAGTATTTATTGTTATAGTGATAAATTACTCGACAGTGTATCACGATATGCTCTTCTGAGTATGTCATTATATCGTTGGTACTTAAAGAATATTGAACAACTGCATATTTCATTAAAAAGAAGCGAAATCTGTCCTGTTTATTTGTTTTCGGCGCAGCACAGTGTGTGAAGTGTTGATTAATAATAAGTGTGTTCATAGATTTTGACAGAATATGACTCTGCTGGTTCTTTTTTGCCTTTAATGGTGAACTTTAAAGCACATTCATATATACATTTGAGCACATTTGATCATGAAGACACTTGCTAGCACATTTCTGTCTCTTATATACGAATATATATGAATGATACAGACTCTGTATGATAGAAATGGCACTGTTTTCATAGAATGACTCACGAACCACAGTGCAGCTCACAGCTCTCACCTGAAAGTGGTAAGACTTTGTCATCCAGGCCCGTGGAAACAGACCTCTCGCCATAGCAGAAATGGATCATCTCAAAGAGCTGAGAATAGGGAGAGAGAGAGAGAGAGAGATAGAGAGATAGAGAGAGAGAGAGAGAGAGAGAGATTGAACCCCACAGTCATAAAAAAAGCAAGACAGTGCAATCCTGACGAGGCTCAAGTTGGCTTCTCATTCCAATTCTCCGTTCCACCTTAAATGGCGCAGCAGCTCCGTTCTAGCGCTCGTGGAAGCCAGACCGTCCCTGCTGCAGCGTTTAAGGTGGAACGGGAAATTCGAACGAGCAGCTGGCGGATGAGCAGCACGCTGCACGGACTGCTCTCGCGCTGCATGCTCACCGCTAATCCGGCTAATCCGCGACACGCAGGCGACTCTCTGTTCCCCCATGTTGACCTTTAAAGGTGGACTGTTTGCAGATCCCGTCGTCCTGTTTCACACCAGCCTATATCAGCTCCTCAGCCATGACCACACAGCCCCGTCCTCTGACCAATCAAACGCCTTAAAGGTGCGGCGTGGGCAGTTTTGGCCGACATATATCCACGAAATATGCTGTTTTAATTAAAGGTGGTTTGATAAACGCGCATTCAGGGCTTCTGCTGCCATCTGCTGAGCTCAGGCTCAGCTCACACCCTGAGGCGTATTCAAACTGAACTATCGAAGGGCCCCTACCATGGAGAACTACGGAGCCCCGCCGGTGACATCCTGTATAAATAAGAATAATGTGTGGCCACGACTTAGTAAGGCGTGGGAATGAGATGATTAAGTCGTGGCTTTTTATTTAAACAGGATGTCACCAGCAGGGCTCCGTAAAAAAAAAAAGGTGAGGAAGGCCCAGTTTTATAAATACAAATAATGCATGGCCACGACTTAGTAAAGCGTGGGAACGGGATCCTAATGCGTGGCCACGACTTAGTAAAGCGTAGGAACGAGATCCTAATGCGTGGCCATGCCTTATTAACATGTGGGAACGAGATCCTAAGGCATGGCCATGACTTAGTAAGGCGTGGGAACGAGATCACGGCTTACTAAGTCGTGGCCACGCATTAGGATCTCGTTCCCACGCTTTACTAAGTCGTGGCCACTCATTAGGATCTCGTTCCCACGTGTTAATAAGGCATGGCCATGCATTATTTGTATTTATAAAACTGGGCCTTCCTCACCTTTTTTTTTTTTTACGGAGCCCCTCTGGTGACATCCTGTTTAAATAAAAAATAATGCGTGGCCACGCCTTATTAACATGTGGGAACGAGATCCTAATGCGTGGCCATGACTTAGTAAGGCATAGGAACGAGATCACGTCTTACTAAGGCGTGGCCACGCATTAGGATCATCTCATTCCCACGCCTTACTAAGTCATGGCCACGCATTATTTTTATTTATACCGGATGTCACCGGCGGGGCTCCGTACCCTTTTTTTAAATGAGAGTTTGATATAGCACACTCCTGAAGAGGATGGCTCTTCAAGAGTTCTTTAGAGCCATGAGTTCTGTATAGAGCCATTTATTTATTTTTATTAAAGGATTCATACCATAACATGACTTACAACAACCAACAGCCGGGGGAGCTTACACTGTCAATAAATCATAATCAGCATATAATCCCAAAGTCCTTTTTGCCTTCTTGTTTTTTATATTTTTTAAAGAAGTGCCATATTCATTCAGCTCACGGAGGAAATGTGCAAAGTTTGGCTTATAATCAGACCATCTCTTCTCATGTAAATGATATTCACCCATAATAATTAAGTATTGTACACAAATACTTTAACATCCAATCTGTGGAAAAATGAATAATAACGTCTGAAACATCCAGTGTAACACAGTGCCCAGTCTTTCCTCTTACAAAGTTTTCCGCATCAGTCCATAACACTTTAGTATGAGTACGTTGGTAAAACAGATGAATAATTGTTTCCTTTTCCAAACCACAAAAGGTGCCGGAATATTCATTAATAATTCTAAATCTCTCTAAAACACTTTTAACAGGGAAGATGTTGTGTAACATTTTAAATGTCACTTCCTTTATTTTATTATTCATACAATATTTATCACAAACTGTCCACACTTTATTCCAGTTTGTGTTTCCAAATACAAAAGATCAAAACGGTTGTTTATAAATTCTGTCATCAGATATTACTTTCCTAATATGCATGTTTGTACATTTATATTTGAGGATATCAGTGTCCCCAGTAAAAAGACCATCCCTATGACATCCATATCACTATTTGCTGAACCCTAAGCTGTAACATTTGATGTGGTTGTGATTGGCTCTCCAGATTTACTAAGAAATTCACTATATGTCAACAAAAAGCCATCAGCATTCAAAAGTTGTTTCACTGATATTATTATCAAACCATTTTTTTTAAAAAAGAGAGATTTATTCTTAAAATTGATATTCCTATTATTCCAAATAATACTTCTGTGAGGGGAAAAATTATGCTTATAAGCCAGTGTCCAAGCTAGTAGAGACTGTTTATGAAATTTGGACAGTTTAACAGGTAATCATGAACGGGTTCTGCTGTAGATGGTTCTATGTAGACCGTTTTTGAAAAGGGTTCTGTATAGGACCCAAAAGTGTTCTTCTATTGTTATGATGTCAAGCTTGTTATAATAGAACCCTTTTTGGTGCTGTATAGAACCACTTTCAAGAAAGTTCCATATAGAACCACTTTCTTTACTAAAGAACCCTTGAAGAACCATCTTTTTTTAGTGTGTGTGTATGTTAGGGCACTGCTTTAAAGGGTACCATTCACTCCCCTGTCCATATCCATATACACTCTAAAAATGATGTTTTTTTTAAGGGTTATTTAGTCAAGAAAAGGTTCTATGTAGAACCATGAACACTTAAAGAACCCTTTGCATGATTAAAGGGTTCTTTGCATCGCAAACTTGTCTTCCGGTTGATGGAGAGTGTGTTGTATATGATCTTATATAGAACCTTTTTGAAAAGGGTTCTTTTATTGTTACAATATCAAGTTCGTTACAATAGAAGAACCATTTTGGTGCTATATAGAACCCTTTTTCAAACCAGTTCTATATCGAACCATCTACAGCACATTTTTTATCAATATGAAGAACCATTTCATGATGCAAAGAACCACTGTTGTACCTTTGAAAGTACATTTACACTGTTTGTACCTTGATGACTAAAAATATACCTGCACAGAACCTTTATTTCTAACAGTGTACTTAAAAAAAAGGGCTCTTCAAGTGTTCTTTCGCAAAGATAATGGTTCTGCATAGAACCGTAAACACTCAAAGATCCATTTGCATGCTTAAATGGGTCATTGCATGGTGAAATGTTCTTCAGATTGATGGAGAATGTGCTGTATATGGTTCTATATAGAACCTTTATGAAAAAGGTTTTACATAGCACCAAAAAGGGTTCCTGTATTGTTATGATGGCAAGCTTTTAACAACAGAAGAACCTTTTCTGGTGCTATATAGAACCATTTTCATAAAGGTTCGATATAGAACCACATACAAGACATTATCAATCTGAAGAATCAGTTCACGATGCAAAGGGCCATTTAAGCATGCAAATGGTTTTAAATAGAACCAATGGCTTTACTACAGAACCACTGAAGAACCATCTTTTTAGAGTGTACGCTGTATTAAAATCACCTAAAGACGTGTTGTCGTATTAGCTACGAACACAACAATCGTTATGTTGCGCCATGCAACGGTGCGGCTTAAAAATGCAATTGAACTACAAATCCCATGGCTCAGTGCTGGCGCCGCTTAGTGAAATGTGTGCTGGTGACCTTAATCGCGCCACGGAATTTGTAGTCCGTTTAGGAAACACGCTCTTAAAAGCGGTATTTTTGTCGTTTTTTGCTGTCAATTAATCATTTGGACACCTCTAAAGGATCAAATATATCAGAATATGGGCTGACATGGCTGTAGAACCTGTAACATGCATCACATTTAATTCATTGTTAATCTACGCTTTGAAAACAGAAGGATGGGAACGCAGTCACACCGATTTATGCTCGTAAAAGAGGACTCGAGATAAGATCGTGATCTATTGATGCTTCTTTTTATTAAAAATAAATAAATAAATAATCAAAACACACCCCTTTGCGAATTCAAATTTTTGTGAGGGAAACTGATGGGCGGACTGAGCGCTTCCCATAATGCACTTGCAGCTCAGCGGGAACCCAAAATGGCGAGAGAGGCGGCGGGGGGAAAACACTCATTCGCTTTATGTTAAAAACATTGAAATTGAGGCTGGGGAAGCTGTTTTAAGCAGTTTGGCACCGTTCGCTCCACACTTTACATTTTATTTTTTCTGTATATGCAGCAGTTTAACCGTGGGAAGTGGCCGAATGAGGTAAGGCAGCTGGAAATCAGCCTTTATACTGAACAATACCAACAACAATAACCTGCAAGCCAAAGCAGAGCTCAGAAAAAACCCTCCAAAAATCAACAAACGCGGAAAAATGTCAGTATAAAAACACGTATTTTTCCGAGTAGAGGTGTGTAGGTGCGTTTTCCGCCACTCTCTTCACCATTAGCAGCCAAATTTGCATGAAAATATTCGCTTTATTTCTATCAAGACTCCCAATTTCTCTCACTCCCACTTCAGATACAAATCGATTAACCGTAGTTACATTCTTCTGAAAGACGGTTCTTCAAGGGTTCTTTAATAAAGGCAATGGTTCTGCGTAGAACCACGAGTTCTGTATGTAACCTTTTACATGCTTAAATGGTTCTTTGTGTTGTGAAATCGTTCTTCAGACTGATGGAGAGTGTGTTGTGTAACTTAGGGTTCTGTATCGCACCATAAAGGGTTCTGCTACTGTATCATAACAATAGAAGGACCCTTTTTGGTGTGATACAGAACCACTCTCTCAAAGAAGATGGTTCTCCAAGAGTTCTTTAGAACCATGAGTTCGGTATAGAGCCATTTGCATGCCTAAGTGGTTCTTTGAATGGTGAACATCAGTCTGAAGAACGATGAGAGTGTGTTGTGTAGGGTTCTGTATTGCACCAAAAAGGGTTCTGCTACTGTATCATAACAAAAGAAGGACCTTTTTTGGTGCGATACAGAACCACTCTCTCAAAGAAGATGGTTCTTCAGAAGTTCTTCAGAAGTTCTTTAGAACCATGAGTTCTGTATGAGGCCATTTGCATGCCTAAGTGGTTCTTTGAATGGTGAAATGGTTCTTCAAATTGATGGTGAATGTACTGTATATGGTTCTGTATCGCACCAAAAAGGGTTCTGCTACTGTATCATAACAATAGAAGGACCCTTTTTGGTGCGATACAGAACCACTCTCTCAAAGAAGATGGTTCTTCAAGAGTTCTTTAGAACCATGAGTTCTGTATGGAGCCATTTACATGCCTAAGTGGTTCTTTGCATGGTGAAATGGTTCTTCAGACTGATGGAGAATGTATTGTATATGGTTCTGTGTCGCACCAAAAAGGGTTCTTCTGTTGATATGTGTGATATCGTAACAATAGAAGAATCCTTTTTGGTGCTATACAGAACCACACGCATAAAAATGGTTCCTCAAGGGCTTTAGTAAAGAAAATGGTTCTATATAGGACCATGAACACTCAAAGAGCCCTTTTGCCTGATTAAAGGGTTCTTTGCGTCATGAAAGCGTTCTTAAGAATGTGCTGGAGATGATTCTATATAGAACCCTTTTCAAATAGGTTCTGCATAGAACCATCTACAGCATATTCTTCATCAATCTGAAGAACACTTTCATGATGCGAAGAGCCTTTAAGTCATGCAAAGGGTTCTTTGAGTGCTCATGCTTTTGTATAGAACTATTTACTAAAGGACCCTTGAAGAATCATCTTTTTAAAGAGTGCATTTTTAGCAAAAGGGTTCCATATAGAACCATATACAGTATGTTCTCCATCAATCTGAGGAACCATTTAAGCATGAGACGGTTCTATAGAGAACTCATGGTTTTAAATAGGTCCATTGCCTTTACTGAAGAACCATTAAAGAACCATTTTTTTCAAATGTAGATTGTAGTGTAGGTTGTCATTCAGCTCAACTCTGCATTGAGTCTGTTATTGTTTTATGTTAGTTTTATGCTGCTGGTTATTTTACTATGTTTCAGCTAATGTTATTTAGATCAAAGGGGCGTTTATACATTTGAGAGAGTTATTAAGTTGTGCATCTCATTGTTGTTATCATATTAAAAATTGGTTTTGAGTGACATGGCATTTCCCATACTCTGTAGCATTGAAGTGTTAGATTCGTGCTGTAAAAGTATTGGGTTTCGATACCAAACATTATTTTGGCCAATGAGCATGTAGTTGTAAGGCAAGCTCAACCCCAAAAAGACATGCAAATCCAGACAGATAGAAATGTACATGTGTTTCAGCTACTTTAGCTGATTTATTTTCTTAGTTAGTATTATAGTAATCTTTAATACTTGTATAGTGCCCTGTAGTAAACTCTAGAACTTGTATTTAGTATAATTCAGAAATTGCTGCAGTATATATCTGCTTAAAGCTGGTTGTGATATCTGATCAATCATTGGTCAACTGTGAGTGTCTATACAGTGTTTTTAGGCTTGATATCCGTACTAAAAGCAAAGTTAAAGGTGAATTTACTCCAGTTTTATTCAACATTACTGCCTAATTCTGTCATGGAGGTGTAAACAGTCATTCAGAATGGTGTGATGTGAAATGGTTCATTGTAGAGACTCAGATGTCTTTACAGTGGTGGTGATGGGAACCAGAGGTTGCGAAGTCTACAACACAAATATAGACATTTTATTTACTATCCAAAACCAACAGTGAACCTACACGTCTTCTTTTTTTAAATGTAATGTTGATGATGGTAAAATCTAAAAATCTGCTACATCTGAAAAAAAAAAAGATTTACAGTGCCCTGCATGTACCTCCCTGCCTTGAATGGATTTTAATATTTATCTATTTTAGACCGAAATCTTCAGAACTATTCTGAAACAGTGTCTCAGACATCAGGCAGTGAATTCATAGCCATTTCATGTAATAAATTTCTGTAAGGGAGGTTTTAGGTGGACGTCTGGTTCCTATCACCACCACTGTGAACATTTCAGTTTCAAACCAAACCACTCTGAATAACATTGTTTACTTTTTAACCGTAGCATTATGCAAAAATTAAAAATAAAAGTAGTGGAATTTCCCCTGAGGTTGCTAAAAATTGTGTGCACAGTTATACAAAATCAAAAAAAGCTGTACATTATGAAATGTAGGATATAATCTAATAATAAAAAAGGAATATATGTTGTAATTCTATGTAAAACTTATTAAATTCTTATTTTCCTCCTAAAATGTATATATTAAGTTTTAGCAAAATATAATATGAAATGAATTTAAACCCTACGTACCTTTTCTTCTCATTTGTTTAGTCTTTTCAGCCTTTGGCCCACCACAGACATTACGCTTTGACCCCCTGCCCCCCTGCTTTAGCAGTACTTAGTGGTCTTATGTATATATTTTAATATTTGTCTGACGTTATGAATCAGTAATGCAAGGTTTGTAAACAGACTTTTTTAACCATTGTCTTGCTCCTTTTTATGCTGGGTGAAATTAGATGCCATGTTAAAATATGGGTGTTAATTAATTTCTCATATGTGTATATCATGAAAAGTTCTTTAATGTAGGTCACTCAGGTGGTTGAGTAGGAAAGGATTTTTGGCAAAATAGGGGAAATGTTTAACACTGTAGTTTATACATTCGCTGAGATGTAATTTGAAGTTTTGCTCATTTTTTTGTGACAGAGACTCAACGGTCGCAAACAGCCTGGGGTCCCATCAGAAGTCTCCTTCCCACCATAAAGACAAGTCTCCGGTGTCCCTGTCCAAACTCTCCCTCAAAGATGGGCAGAGTGACACGGCCAGACTCGCAAACAAGTTTGAGGAGGGGCAGGACGTTTTAGCTCGATGGTCAGATGGCCTGTTTTACCTGGGGACAATCGAGAAGGTGAGCTTACTTCTGATCTCCTATCCTGTTCAAAATAAATAAATAAACAAACCTGCCTAAAGCGCTAAATTTAACATATTGGGGTGGAAAAATATCAAAACATAATTTCTAAAACAGAAAGTGTGCATTAAAATTTACAGAAAAATTCCATATTTCGGGGTGTTCTCTGTAGAGGGTGCGTTAACTTATTTTCACTTAGAAAATCAACAAAACATGCAACGTGTACATATTGTGTTGCTGCCAGAACAAAAATGTTGCATCTCCAAAATGATAACGTTACTGGAGAAGGAAAAAACCTGCTTTACTTTCAATGTAAGTCAATGGAACCAGAGTGTTTTCCAAGTCATTTTGGATGTTTCAGTTTGGTCTGGACCAAAATAGAAAGTGGAAAAGGTGTTTTGGACCACTGTCCAGACCAAAGGACCAAAATTTGATCTGAGGTTGTCAAACTGAACTGATTGCACTGTGAAAACACTTCTTTGAGTGGTTCGGACTTTGGGACCAATTACAGGGCGTTGAGGCAGGCTATCGTCACCCTTTAAACAACAGAAGAAAAGAACAAGCAGAGAAGTAAGATGAGCTGCTGTAGCTCACGGGGAGAGGAGACAAAATGGTTTATTGTAATTTGATCCAATGAAAAAGTCAACTTCAAAAAAATGCATAAAAATGGCGAAATTTATACCTTATTTTCTGAGAGGATGAGAGAGAGAATATTTTTTTCTCTACATTCAACCGGAAAAGGCTACTCGCCGAATTGACACCGTGTTGACATCAGACGCTCCTCTACAAACCAGTCACTGTTAAGTACAGCGAGACGCAGCTGATGTAAATGACGAAAAAATTGCAGGGAGAAACCAAAACTAACCGGATCGAATGTATACAGTGCAACAAAAACCTGAACCTCGGTTCAGCCTTTCAGGTGTTAAACGTCTGAAGATGATGTCCAGGAAGCCAGACCTGTATATATGTATATGTATACTGTATATATAGTTGCAGGCAACGGTTTGAACACCCTGGTCAACATATTGGGGGAAGGGGGTACCAAATATGTTCCATAACTTTTGCACAGAATGCATTTAATGTTGTATTTTTTCAGTATATGTCAGTAAGTAAACAAACAGTAATGGTGTGTATTGAAATGTGCAGAAGTGTGCTCTCTGTAAAGGATGTGTTTATGACTTATTTTCACTTAGAAAAGCAACAAAAATATGTCATCAGACCAGGGGCGCACAGACTTTGCATACAACGTTAGGTATAATGAGCATTTTTGTATATGCTTTCAACTGTGAGATCTGTTAGTGTGATTTGTTTTTATTTTTCTCTTCCTCCTCACAGATAAACAAACAAAAGCATAGCTGTTTAGTGGTTTTTGAAGATCAGTCCAAATCGTGGGTTCTTTGGAAGGACATTCAGACAGGCAAGTGCTCTTCACTGTGCTCCACTAGTAAATGACAACAACTTCGCTGTAACAGGAATGCAGTAGCGCCTAATATGAAGGGTCACCTGATTTTGTCACGTGCTTTGTTTCCAAGTCGAATTGTTTTTATTCATGTGGAGTTTTTCACTTGTCAGTTTTCCTTGTAGAAGCCTGAAGAAGCTGAAGAAAATGCAGCTGCCTACATTTACTGATGGTATTGTTACACTCTAGTAGGCCATGTATAAACTGAAATGCACTGGTGTAGAGATATTCCAGATATTTTACTCAATTTATGCACGTAATGCTAGGGCTGCACGATATGGATATATATGTGTGTGTATGTAGACATAAATAAATATATGTGTGTATATATGTATGTATGTGTATATATATATGTATGTATATATACATACACTCACACACTAACGCACAAAATTCCATGAAATTTCACACAACTCCTAGATATTCCATGATCAGCTGTGAGTAGTATTTTTGAAAAGTGGAAGCATTTGGGAACCACAGCACCTCAGCTACGTGTCGGGCCACGTAAAGTTACTGAGCGGGTCGCTGAGGAGCATAAAAGTCTCCAACACTCTGCTGGCTGAGTAGCTGCAGAGTTCAAACCTCCTCTGACATCAACATCAGCACAAAACTGTGCACTGGGAGCTTCATGGCCTGGGTTTCCATGGTCCAGCAGCTGCACGCAAGCCTTACATCACCAAGCACAATGCCAAGCGTTGGATGGAGTGGTGTGAAGCGACGCCGCTGGACTCTGGAGCAGTGGAAACTGTATTCTGTGGAGTGGTGAATCACGCTTCTCTATCTGTCAGTCTGATGGACGAGTCTGGGTTTGGTGAATGCCAGGAGAACGTTACCTGCCTGACTGCACTGTGCCAGCTGTAAAGTTTGGTGGAGGAGGGATGATGATACGGGGTTGTTTTTCTGCCCTTCAGTTCCAGTGAAGGGAAATCTTAATGCTTCAGCAGAACAAGACATTTTGGACAATTGTACACTTCCAACTTTGTGTGAACAGTTTGGTGGAAGCACCTTTTCTGTTCCAGCGTGACTGAGCCCCAGTGCACAAAGCAAGGTCCGTAAAGGCCTGGCTGGGTGAGTTTGGTTAGTTCTAGCCTGTATCCAGTAAGCTGCCCCAACCTTACTTAACTCTAATACACCTGATCCAGCCAATCAGGGGCTTGGGAAGAGGCTGATTAGCTGGAGCAAAGTGACAAATGTGGCAAACTGTGGTTGGACCTAGGCTCTTCAGGATCAGTGTTGGAGACCCCTGTTTTAAATGATGTTATAGACTAATAGTTAAGGATACGGTAGTTTTGGCTGTGCACGTGTGTGGTTTGTAATTGGCAGGTACCAGGAGGCACTGTTTGGGCTTCTAAGGCTACATTCCCAGCAGTCTAATTGTGTCATATTGGCACTGTGTTTGAGATCATTTGATCTGTTCTGTCATCGCAGCTCTTAACGATGTGTTTATCACGGAAACTCTTGTTGCAATACCAGCATAGCAATAAAAATACAATTTATCGTGCAGCCCTACAAAGAATTCTCTTTACACCCTGAACGCTCCACTTTGCAGATGAGTGTGGGTTAACTGGTGCACTGGGATTAGTGTCATTGGGTCAATTACAGCAACAGGGCTTAGCAGGAGAATATTGTAGGATTTCATGATATTGTCGCTGCTGTACCAAAACCTCATAACGCCAGTTTTTTGTTTATATTTTTACACTATAGGAAATGGCCAGCTGTCCTTTACATTGTGTGGACATTTCATGACCAATAGAAATGGCCCAAAATGACTGAAGTAATCTTAAATTAGCATATATTAAAATGTAGTTTTGGAGAAATGAGGTTTTGGCACAGTGACGACATTGTTTACCAGTAATTATCTTGCACTTAATGGCTGTTGTGACTAAAAATGGAATAAATGAAGTGTTGTCTCTGGCTTTTGCACTGTACTGTATATTCGTGGAGCTTGAGGAGCAGTAAGGCATTGTAAATATATGTTTTTATATTAATAATATATTTATACTTATAATGCTATTTATTTGTCTAGCGTCATGAATCAGATGCAAGTTTTGCAAACAGCTCATTTTAATCATTGTGCTTTAATACTGGCTGAAACGAATGCCAGAATAATGTAAGCCTCTCTATTGATTAAGTAATTTACTGATTATTTTGGCAAATAAACAAGTAATCGCAATTTTTAGCTTTACTAGGAAAAGAAAACTAAGAAATAAGTGTGAGTGCATGTTGTGTATTCATATAGCACAAAACGTTGATTAATAGTCCAGTTATTGTTTTAACTTGGAGGAAACTATCAGACAAGTTTAAGATGAATGGACGTTTCCTCACATGTACATATTCATAGGAGTTGCTTTGACCTCAGCTGGGGATCGTCTCTCACTCATGGTTTGTTGAGGTCGAGCGTTGGGTTTGAACAGAACCAGGACGGTAATTTGTTGCTGCTGTGTGTTACAGGGGACAGTGGAGAGGAGATGCTTTGCACCATTTGTCAGAATGAAAGCTCAGAGCCACCCAACGAAATGGTCATCTGCGACAAGTGTGGACAAGGTAGGTCGGCTAGTGTTCTGTGTCAAGACAGTTAATGTCTTTATTGATCAGAATCAGTTTTATTCCTGATAACTTATACTTACACCTTGTATCTCCATTTTTGTCGTTTTTCATTTTTTTACATAATTTGAAAAGGCCTGTTGCTCTTTACATTGTATATAAATTTCATGATGAACAGACCGAAGGAAATGGTCCAAAATTACTTCAAGAAAGGTCTGGTTCCTTTGACTTACATTAGAAGTAAAGTATGTTTTCTCCTTCTTTTGTAAAGTTACCATTTTGGAGATACGAGGTTTTGTTCTGACAGCAGCGATACATGAGAAATTAGGACGTGTTGTCATTCTGTAGTGGGTCATGCACAAATAAGGGGCTAAGGTGACGCTACAGCCATCCGTGGCTGGGAGTCCAAGAGAACACAATTGTTCTTGCTCTCTCTGGGTGGGTAGGGTGGTCCCCCGTCTCCCCCATCACTCAGTGTGATGCTGGCCAGCGCAGACGTCTGTTAGCTGTCGTAACAACTAGCGGTCCGAGCGCGTTCGGCTATCCTGTGACGTTGCGTTACTGACAGATTGAAAAGATGGAGTGGCTTCGCTGGTGTGACTGGGGGAGTCCAAACAAGTCTGTTGAATTGGATGCATCTAATTTGGGGAGAAAATCGAGGGGAAAAAGCTCGCTGGTCGCTGGTATTTCACTCAGCGCTAAACGGAAATGATGCTTTTTGTCCTGTGTACTTTTTTCTTTGAATGTCACTGGATCCTCTGAATTATGAGCTTGTTCACTTTTTTCGTACAGAAAAACAAAGACCAGGGGCCAAATTTCAGAAAATTCTTAAGTCTGAGATCATATCTTATCTGCTTTGTTGTCATGGCAACCTCAGTTAAGACTTAAGTCTATAATCTTATCTTATTTCCAGATGAGAAAACGGTTTTACAGAAACATCCTAAGTTGCCAAAATATCCTAAATATTTTCTTAACTTTAAGATAAACCCCAGATCTGTCTTAACTTCTGTTTTAATCGTCTGTTTCTATTGTTTTGTGCAGTGATGGGCAGCACAGCTCACTATAACCAGCATAATGACGCTAAACTTATCTACACTGAAAACGGCGCTTTGACTTGAGTGAATTATTTTTTTTTAATTATTCTTTTAAACGTTTTTTTAAGAACTCAGACGCTGCAGACACGATCTCCACCTTCCCCTCTTATTACCTTCGGGTGTTAATGTTAATGTTGATGATGAAATATTACAGTGATGGTGGTGAATATTGAGGAGACGGAGCTGAACGTGTGTCTGTTTATTAGGAGGAGTAACGTTAGCACGCTCGGCTAAAGCGTTTGGGAAATGGAGACTGAAACTGTGGAGCAGCGACTCTGATAAACAGCTCGAAGCGCTAAAACAATATTCTTAACTCTCAGTTTATCGCGCTTTAGTTTTGTTTGACCTTTTTAACGTTAGTCTGACTAACTAACTTGATTACGTGTTTACTAGTTTCAGCTATGTGCGTATGGTCGGTTGCTAGATAACAGACACGACAGTTGATTGTTGACTTCAGTCGAGAAAGTTAAGATTTCCTAACTTGAGATGATAAAAGATGCTGTAAGATAAGATCAGATTCTTAAATTAAGATAAGTTTTGCTTCTGTAATACGAATTTGTGAAAAATCTTATCTTGACCTGTCAGATCTTAAGTTTTTGTCTTGAGTCCGCACGTCTACCATGTAAAATACAAAACAAACCAAACAAGGAAGCAAAAATTGTAACAAATCTGCAAAAGAAAATGACACAACGTCGTATGCAAAAGAAAGTTGACGTCATTATTTGCTGTATTTTCCTAATATGTTAAAATGAACAAATTTGCCAAATGTGTTAACTTACTTTTACTTAGGAAATCAGCAAAAGATGTAATTTGACTGGGGTTGTTTAAACCTTTGCATAAAACTGTATAAATAAGGGAAAAATAAAATTAAACAGAATAAAAGTAACATAGAAATTATTTAGAAGAAGAGCCAAATCATTCTAATGTGTTTCTGTCGATCGTTTTGTAGGATACCATCAACTCTGCCACACCCCCATCATCGACTCCAGCGTCATCGCATCTGATGATAAATGGCTCTGCAGACAGTGTGTGTTTGCCACAACGACGAAGGTTTGCAGGCTTTAAATTCTTTTTAGTGTTCAGGTTGTGTTTCCCTTTGATGGAAATGCACTACCATTTAAAAGTTTGGAATCCCTTGCTGTATTGACAGTTTCATAATTTATAATATACAATAATAACTTGTGTGGTACAGTGTGGCACACAAATCACCAAAATATGTGTTTTGTTTTTATCAATATTTCAAGAATCTTGTTAACAAGGAGTGAATAAATGATTTAATAAACCGTAATTATCCACTTTCATGTCAAGTTATCTGTTTTGAGATTTGATCTTCACCTTTAAAATCGATGAGTTTTGGATATTTTATTTTTTATTATTATTTAGCTATTATTATTATTATTATTATTATTATTATATTTATGCTTCATTCTTGATGTTCTACAGCTTCCGCAGTCTAGTCTTCTGCAGCTCTGTTTATCATTCTGGACACAACTAACATTTCTTCATTTACATCAGTGTCCTACTGATTGTCTAAACCCGGAAAGATGAGCAGGAGGAGCAAAAAAACACAAATATATGATTTATTTGTTGAGTAGTGACATATTCCACTACACATTGTGGTGTTTAGTGTATACAAGCACAGTATACACTGATCAGGCATAACATAATGACCACCTCCTTGTTTCTACGCTGTCCATTTTATCAGCTCCACTTACTATATAGGTGCACTTTGTAGTTCTACAGTTACAGAACTTAGTCTGTAATTGACCACTGTTCTTCTGTGGTCAGGGTCCATTGGGGTCCTGACCACTGAAGAACAGGGTAAAAGGGGGCTAACAGACTACAGTCTGTAACTGTAGAACTACAAAGTGCACCTATATAGTAAGTGGAGCTGATAAAATGGACAATGAGTGCAGAAACAAGGAGGTGGTCATAATGTTATGTCTGATTGGTGTACAATGTCACATTTTGTTTTTCTGAGGTTTGATAAGTTAAACCAAAAAGAACCAGTGGTACCACAAAGCACTGTCAAAAACTATGAATGCACATTATTTTTATTTGGTGTTTCACCTACTGCCCAGCACTAAATCCACACGCTTGTGTATAGACATACAATGCATATTCCGTGGTCCGCTAATAAATCTGCGTATACAGTGAGAGGATGTCAAAAGCTCTGTATCTAAATATGTAATGTTTTAATATCACTATTCCTTGTAAAAAATTATCTTACTCCTAAAATGCAGTACAAATCACTGTAAATTCAGATTGGAAACACCCTAGGCACAATAAGTTGTGTGTTGGTGCTATGCTAACACGAGCGTTATGCTGAGTCTGTGCAGCGCTCTGTTCTTATTGGAGAAAACAAAGTTAGCTGTGCAAGTGTAGTGGCTAACTCTGCTTTCCTCCCTTTTATTTCATTTCTTTTTGTGTTTCTTTGCTACACTTGTGTGACTTAGATTTTCCCTCTCAGCTCCCAGGGAGTGGGGGCCCTTTGCAGCAGGCTACCTTTGCCTAGTGCAGGGGTCGGCGACATGCGGCTCTTTTACTGCCCTGTTGTGGCTCCACAGCAGAATTAGATTTGTAGGAAAAAATAAAATAAAAAAAATAAAAACACAGTTTTAACAATAAATGATCTTAAACAATGGAGTTAATGTAGATCTGCTAATTCAACCTTTAACCCTGAAGGTTGGTGACAGTGCAGACTGTTGGTCACCATAGCAATGCATACAACAATTTGGTCCAGCTTGTAGCTAAAGAAAAGGTAAAGTGTAAGATTTAAGATGAACATCGATAATTTGGAGACGAATGGACTTATTTACATTTATATTCACTCCAGCTGGTTTCCTGATATGTTTAATCTGCAACGAGAAACTGTCAAACACTGAAAAGGCGCAAAACTGAAGTCAACTCATTCGACAGCTTCTTGTTCAAATTCTCCGGTTCCACCTTAAATGGTGCAACAGTTACCTTCTACCCTCAGGCACCATTTAAGGTGGAACGAGAAATTTCGACTGAGAAGCTGGCGAATGAGAAGCGACTTCAGCCTCGTAAAAAGTCAAATGTTGAGGGATATTTTACAAGACACGATTCCACTTTTGAGGAAAAGTTTCCTGCCAGAGATGCGAGAAAAGTGGCTATAGCTGTGCTAAAGCTCAAAGCAGAGCAAAGCAAGTCTGCGTTTTTGTTTATATTTTTTATTCTATACTAGTACATTATTATATACTGTATATGATATACTGAGACATATTTACAGCCAAGAAGTTAAAACGTCACTTCAATAAAATGGACATAAAATAATTTCACTCCCAAAGTAGATTGATTTTTGTTGACAGGATAAAACGGCTCTTCTTAATATTTTGGTTGCCGACACCTGGCCTAGTGCAAAGGCCGCCCCTGATTGCCAGCCCCTGTTTAATTGTGTAGTGCTTAAATTAACAAGTAGCAGCGATTTTTAACTGTGAACATCCATCTGAAGGTAAAACACAGCGTTGCTAGAAGCTGCTGGAGCTGTAGCTGTCGATGAATTGCAGCAACTGCATGTGCATCCTGTTCTTTGTTACCGTTTGTCAAACAGGACAGACTGAATAAGCCAACTGCAAGGATCACGTGGCTTTTTTTTAAATAATAACATGGCCCTTGAGGAAAGTGCTGTTGAAGTCTGAAGAGTTTATTTGTTCAGCTGACCTGTTTTTCTTTCTCTGCTGGTTTTGTGTTCTGATTTCAGAGGGGCGGCGCACGCAAGAAAGGGCCGAACGCTAAAGCCCTGCAGGAGATGAAGCAGTCCCTGCCGTACACCCTGGATGAGCTGGAGTGGGATCAGGGCCACAAAACCAACACCCAGCAATGCTACTGCTACTGTGGAGGGCCTGGAGAGTGAGTGGACTGTGCACAGTCATCAATAAGGACTTCTCTTAACATAATAGCCACAGAGATCAACTCTAACATGATGACAAAAAAGAGCGTTTGACAACACAAATTACCTAATAGATTACAAAATACCAAGTCATGGAGATACTTTGATTTACTGTTGTCTGTTGGTATTAGTGTGTGCTGATGACATACAGCAGTGTATAGAAGTCCGGGATCATCCTTTGTCTATTTGTTTTCCAGCCAGAAACGTCCATTAAATTTGTCATTTTCGAGATTAGATATAAAATGTATGCCTGTTGCGAACCTGTAACTAAAGCTTTGTTCACACAGCAGGTAAAAGTGGCCCAAATCTGATCTTTTTCTTCATATGTGACACGGGTGTGTGTCTGTGTGTCAGTGTGAACAGATAAACACACTAAATCTGACAATTTCATTTCCGATTTGAGATGCTTTCATATGTGGTACTGAAATCCGATACGTATCCGATCTGTGGCACTGTGAGTTCATGCAGCTTTTACGTCAATCCAACACGACATTCGCAATAATTTCACCCTGCTGAGACTCATAAACATTTAGGCTGATGTTTTTGTGCCAAACAATTAGAAGAGACTCATTAAAACCCTCCGTTTTCAAAGAGGTTTCAAAAGAAATGGCTGAACGAGGCTGCAGCGTCAAAGAACAGTTAAAAGTGACTGCGCCCTTTTTACGTTGAGCTGAACACATTCTGGGTGATGAGCCCAGCAGTCAGTCTGAATGAAGCATCATGATGTGCTCCTGTGATGCTGACGAAGATGAAGCTGAGCGACTGGTGTTCTTTGGCAATCGTGATTGTTTTCCTCTGGATGAGCCGTGAAGAAGCGTGAAGCAACGTGAAGCATTGTTCTTTTGCGCATGCGGGTCGGTTTAGGAGCTGATCTGTTCAGACTGATGTCACATACAGATCGCATTTAAAAGATAATGTGAACAGCCAAATGAAAAAAATCGAATTTGGTGATAAAATCAGATTTGGGCCACTTTTACCTGCTGTGTGAACGTAGCCTAAGAAAAGGAAACAAAGAAGCAAGTTATCTCAGAGACCAGACCTCAACATCATTTAATGTGTTTGAGAATATTTGAATAGTGAGAAGCAGAAAATGCAACCAACTTCAAGACTGAACTTGGAAAAATATCCTTATCCTTATACTAGTGTGGAAAAATATCCTTGCAGATTTCTTTGAGAAACTGAAAGTGAGTCTTCTGAAAAGAATGGAAGCTGTAATAAAGGTAAAGAGTGACACAGTAAATACTGACAGTCTGATATTTAGTTGTGAAGGCTTCTGTGTGATTCTCTGTTAAATGTCTTTTCTACCTTTTTCTGACACTGAAAAAAACTTGTACTTCACGGCTGTTTTGATTGAACATTGCACAAATGAAGGATGCGCATCACTGTATCTTCAGAAAAACGAGGAATTAGATAAATCAGTGTTTTTGAACAATTGAAGACGTAAAATGCTTCTAAACCTCACTTTAGCAACTGCGTCAAATTGGTGTTTTGACGAAATAGGAAAATAGGCCAACGTAGTGCTCAAATAGATGCTTTGCTTCAATGACACTGTTTCATTGTGTGAAAACTAATTCTGAATCATAAGAACATTTTGATATTTTATGACACATCAATACGGTTGTTTTTTATTCTACTGTTGTGCCTGATCTAATTTTTCCCTTTAGGTCTATTACGCTTTTGTCTGAGTGTGACTAGCTCATTACATATTCATACGAAGCCTGGACCAATGTATTCTGAATAAGTTCTTATAATTAAAATAGCAGATGAACATTATTCACATACCTTTAAGAGAGTGTTATTTCCTCCACAGCTGGTATCTGAAGATGCTGCAGTGTAACAGGTGTAAGCAGTGGTTTCATGAGGCGTGCATCCAGTGCTTTGAAAGGCCTATGCTGAATGGAGACAGGTAAAGAGCAAAGCGTTCACTTAACCCTCTATTGCTTGATGTTGCCTCATGGCAACAAACCCATTTTCTTCACTTTACAATAACATTATACATATTTAACAACAATGACAGGGTTAACTATAAAGGGCAGAGTTTGTGTAAGTCAATAAAAAGCATGTAGTTGGTCACTCATCTCTTAGTGGGCACTTTTAAACCTCTTTTTTAACATTCAGTATCATTTTTTTCTTATGACCATTTGCAGAAATATGTCTGTTGCCTAGAAGCAACATTGGAGTGATCTCACCACTTCAGGAAACAGGGCTCTATATCATTTCTTCCCCTTGTTGCACAATTTTGTCTAAAGAAACATACATCAAAAGGATTCCTGCACACATTATTACTTAAAAAATGTTTTTGAATTTAATAATGAGGTCAGTGTTATGCAAGAAAAGTGAATCGAATATCTTTTTAATTGCTCTCCTAATGCCTGCAGTAGGGGGTGAATACTGGATAATGTGACAAGATGTATAATTCCAAAATTTAAAGAAATGGTCAAATTTACAGCCAAGGCATGTTTAGAGTACTTTAGTTTACAACTGGAGTGGCAAGGCTAACATCGTCGCTGTCCAAAGAAAATCATGTGTTTCCATTTTTGTCGATTTTTATTTTTCTACATCATTTCAACACACCAGCTGTCCTTTACGCTGTGTGACAATTTCATGATTAATGGACCAATAGAAATGCTCCAAAATCACTTGGAATAAAATCTCTCTACATTGACTTACATTGAAAGGTAAGAGTGTTTTTGCCTTCTCCTGTAAAGTTACTGTTTTGGAGATTCTTGTTTTTCGTTGGACAGCGACAATATATATTATACAATTCTAGTATTGTGATTGTATTGCTACATGGTGCAATTGCAATATGCTTTGCAGTGAATTCAGGATGTGCCAATATAGGAATTGTAGGCCGATGTCTATCACATATTTTTCTAGGATTATTGATGCTGATACGCGTTTTTAAAATTAGAAATTGGGACTAAATCTACCTGGATTAGTAATGTGGTAAAATGTAGCATGTATTTATGTAGAGTTATAAATGTAGTAAAAAGAATAAAATGTAGATGTTATAGCTTAGTAACCCAGCATCACCTAAATGTTCTGCTCTTCCAAAACATTTTTCCTAAACATGCTGCTAATCAAATATAGATTTGAGGGCTCCTGAGTGGCGTAATCGTCTAAGCGTTGGTCCTGTCATCAGAAGATTGCGAGTTCGATCCCTGTTGATGCTACAGCCATCCGTGGCCGGGAGTCCAAGAGAGCACAATTGGCCTCGCTCTCTCCCCCCCATCACCCAATGAGATGGTAGTCAGCGCAGACGTCTGTTAGCTGACGTTACAGATCCGGCGGTTAGTGTTGTCCTCCTAGTGCGTTCAGCTGTCCAATGACATTGCGTTAGCGGCAATTCGAAAAGATGCGGTTGAGCTTCACAGGTCTCGGAGGAAGCCTGTGTTAGCCTTCACCCTCCTAACTTTGGTGGTATCGTGTGATTGGGGGAGTCTTAACTAGTGGGTGGAATTGGAGACGACTAAATTGGGGAGAAAATCGGGGAAGAAAAAAAAAGGTATATAGGTCTGAAATATTGGTTAGATCTAAACATTTTATATTTTATGTGTGAGATGTATATTTTTTCAAACATATTGACAAATTGTTATTATGGTTTAAACTTGCATTATACTGTCCAGACACTCATCTAGAACTTTAATTGCAAACGATACAGTGTGCATCCCTAGTTTCTAACCTGATAGTGTGCAAATTTGTGTTTATTTCCCATAGGTTCTATCTTTTTGTTTGTTCAGTTTGCAGTAGTGGACCAGAGTACCTCAAACGATTGCCTCTTAGATGGTGAGTTTCAGTGAGATAAATATCTTCAAGATTGGGGCAGCAGAATTTAGAGTTCTGTCTTCATTTTAAACCCTTTTAATGAACGTATGTTTTGTTCTCCTCTGTCTCCACAGGGTAGATGTTGCACACCTGAGCCTCTACAATCTGAGTGTCATTCATAAAAAGAAATACTTTGATTCAGAACTGGAGCTCATGTCTTATATCAACGAGAACTGGGATGGGCTACAGCTTGGAGAGGTAATTCTACTCAGTGTTTTGTTCCTGCATTAGACACACTGTCTGTGTTTACATGCAAAGATTTTTGGCAGTCCGATTGAATACATTCCGATTAAAGATCAACAATGAGGTGTTTGAGCTCACTCTACTCAAGAGTCTGATGGCATATCTCAGTTTACATTCAAGCTAGGAAGTAATCCGATCCAAAACGACGCACGTGTGGAAAACCACTTAGTGTAGACGTTACCATGACAACGAGCATCACGTGAGGTCCGATCAGAGTGAGATGAGTTTTTAGCAGGCGCTCTTGTGTTTTTAATTACTTTAAAATGATGTCAGACTCAGGAAAACGTCCTTCATATGTCCTTATTAAAGAAGGCCGAGAGGAAGGCGTCGTGTTCTGAGACACATAAGATGGACGTCCGTCCCACCGCCGTCTTTTAAAGATCAGAGCATAAACTTCGTCTCCTCTGCAGACCAGTTTCTGCTCCGCCATGTTGAACGGTATAAACTTTCACTATGACGTGACGAACATGATCAGAACGGACTTAAGCTTTCCGATAGGGAATGTAATCAGATACAGGCGTTTACACAGATATTATTCTTCTATTTAACAGATTATTTACAGGATTACCCACCTCGTTCAATCGGATAGAAATGGTATTCTGAATGGCTTCATTCGGACTAGGCTTACCGGATGGAGGTGTTTACATGATCGTATTCTATTCCGATTGAGCTATTAGTCGGATTATTAGGCTGCATGCAAATGTGGCTAATGAGAGGCCAGTTTGTTTCTTTGTTTGTTTGTTTGTTTGTTTACTTATTTATGTTATCTACACTCATTGGCCTTTTTTATATCCAAAACACCTTCCATTTAGGTTCAGTTGTAGGTTTAAAAATACAGAATGTAACCCGTCTATTACTGCACAGTTCATCAGCACCTCAACCCCATTTGTCATTGGTCAGTTTCTGACCACAAGACCGCTGATGTCCAGATATTATTTTGGTGGTGGTCTGTTCTCGACACAGCAGTGTCACTGATGCAGTGAGGCTTGTAATGTGAACGTAGCCTTCAAATCTTTCATCGTCCTCAAAATCATTGGATTCTTCGGCTTAGGGAACGGATCCAAAGCACAACCCAAGCTTTAAAATGTTGTGTGTAGATCGCCAAAACTTGCGTAGCTTTAATTTATAGAAAACAATCACAATATTGGTCAGAAAAATCACAGTAAGTTATTTTCCCCAAATTGTTCAGCCCAAAACAAATGTTACGCTTTAGATCCTCAAGACGAAAAGTTTGGCCACCCTTGTTATAAACCTACAAAGTGCACTTATATGGTAGGTGTGATGTACGTAAATACGCTAAACTGGCAACTCTGTGCACACATGGGCTAAAATGCAACAGCATCTGTACCTTTTACCCTTTTTTCGTTCGTTAAATCTACAGCTGGCGGACACCCCCAAATCAGAGCGATACGAGAGAATCCTGGAAGCACTTAATAACAACCCTGCAATGTGAGTCTCCTCTTTTACATCAGAGCTTCTGGAATTCATAAAGACTGTCAAAGAGCAAATAACTGTGTTTATTCCTCTCCTGTCTGGACCTCAGGTTCATTTCTGGGAAGGAAATAAAGAAGAAGAAGCACCTCTTTGGATTACGGATCCGCTTCCCTCCGTCCCCCCACAGCTCAGAGACCCCCTCAGACAAGGAGCAGGAAAAGGCCTCTCAGGAGATTAAGATCAAAGGCAGGAAGTCCAACAAGCCCTCACACTCGTCCAGGTGAGGGTCAGGATTCTCTCTCTCTCTGTTTCTTCTCATGCTCTTTCCCTCTTTTTTCTATCTCTCTTATGTCTCTCTTTCTTTTTCTCGCTCTTCCTTTCACTCTCTTCTTTCTTTCTCTCTTTTTTTCCTCTCTTCTTTCTTTTTTCTTTCCATGCCCTAGTTCTGTTTTTTTTGTTTTGCACTCATCTTTTCTTTTGTCTTACTTCCCCTCTTTCTCTTTTTTTCTTTTCAGGCTCTGTCTCCTTTACTCTTAAACCATCTCCTCTCTGTCTCTTCCCTCTTTTCCCATTTTTTTTCTTCCTCACTTATGGTTCTGTCTCTTTCTCTCTTTCTTTTTTGCTTGCTCACACTTTCTCTGTTCCTGATCTTTAGGAAATAGTTTTGTTCAAAATAACGTAACATAGTGACAGAAACTGGGGTAGCGAAGCTCTTTTTTAAGTTATCTTTTTTTTCCAGCACTGTCACCAATGGAGTCATGAAGAAAGGAAAGAGGAAACACATCTCGCACTCTTTGGAGACGCTGGCCAAACTAAGACGATCAGATGGACTTTTGGCACAGGTGCGGGTGTAAGAGCTTGTAGCTGAGTGTGTTTTTGCAGATAATAATTGTTCAGCAGCCCATAAACCACAGTGCAAAATTAAGGAAAGAGACTAAAAACATTTGAAATGCTGAAATAATGAAATGACGTTTCTCTGTTCACCGTTTCCCCTCAAATATAGAAAGATGTGAAGTTGCCATCACTAGACAGCAACTCGCTGGACGTGATGACCGCTAAAAGGTAGGAGTTCTGTCTTGGCGATAGTTGAAGTAAAGCAGTATTAAGTTACACTGAAATGTGTATTTTGTTTATTTTTGACTGTCCAGCATCAAAAGTGAAAAGTCTGTGCCATCATCAAGTACCTCAGATGTCGAATCCGTTGGTGCCACCACTATGAGTGAAACTACCTCAACTAGCATATCCAGGTAGTATTCACCTTTCAAATATTTGAAGGGTTATTCTAAAGATTTTCTTGGTTGAAAAACAGCCCTTTTTAATGTCCTTAAGCCGGAGTTACGCTACATGACTTTTACCCCGATTTTCAGTCTGGCCGAGTCTGTACTGGTCGACTATAGTCTGCAGATTTTTGGGTCAGTCGGAGTCGACAGTTAGAGAGAGAGTTGAGTCGTGTTTGAGGGGCGCAGACTCAGACTTACAGCCTCCCGATCGCGTTTCAGACCAGTCGGAGTTTATCAAACGTTTCATTTTTCCGACCCGACTTTGAGCGAAATCTAGTGTAAACTGATCAACACTCAATCTGAATGAATTCCTGCAACAGCCACTGAAAACTTAGAGCATGAAAGAAGAAAATACAGCAAGTAAACAAAGAAAAATGCCAAAAAGTCATTCATGTGTGGAGCGAAACTTTTTAATGAGCTGAGTTTAAGGCACGATTGAGTTTATGTACATTTTAAACTCTTAAAAACTCCAGACTGACCACATTTTTAAATCCATGATCCTCACTTAAACACGTTTACCTGCTGCTTCTTTACTATTTCAGCGCAACCAGCAGAGAAAACAGCAGCTCCACGTTTGTTTATTTGGGTCTCTTAGTAACGAAAGAATGTGAGTCCGCGTGAATTTGCACAAGATCAGTGAGCTCCGTTGAGTGGTGTGTGATGCCTTATCATTCAGTGTGTGATTCCCAATATTTGTCGGCTGAAAAAATCTGCAAAAACCAGTCAGATAGTGTGAGATGCCCGGCCTTTTGGTAATCTGTTAAGACTTTAAAAGTCGTGTAGTAAACCCAAGGCTTTAATGAACAGTGGATGTTATTTTTGAAATATTAAGAATTTTTGCTATGATGTATAAACAGATTTTCTTCGAAAAAAAAAAGAGTTTGAAATCACAATGATCACATTGATTTGTAATAGTAGTTTGCGCTATGGCCAAAAAGCACGGTATAATTTAAGATTTCTGACGTGTGTGTGTGTGTATGGAAGAAGGCTTGTTAAAAATGGTATTAAACGTGTGGTAAATAATGCTTTTATGCCAGCGTCCTTAAAAACGTTCACTCTCTCCTACAATTCTACCTTTCTCCAAACTAGCCTGAGCAGCCCCAGCCAGACTCACTCGGACCGCCTGTGGCCTGTCGCTCAGCCTCCAGTGAAGAGGCGTCGCGGCCGGCCTCGGAGAGCGCTTCAACCCCCAAACCCTGAAATCCCTCCCCGCCCTGAGCCCCTCAGCCCCAGCGTCCCAGAGCCGGCCTTTTCCCGGCTCCACCCCACAGACTTTCTGCAGAGCCTGGACCCCAACGCCCAGCTCAGCCACCTCAAGAGCTCCATCAGTAGCTACTTCGGCGCCGCCGGCCGCATGGCCTGCGGGGAAAAGTACCGCGTCCTGGCCCGCAGAGTGACCGAAGATGGTAAAGTGCAGTATCTGGTGGAGTGGGAGGGGGTCACTGCTTCATGAGCACGGTCTCAGGTCCCAAATCAAGCCCACACACTTTGGACCAGCGGTAGTGCTGTCCACTCTGGTTCCAAAATTTCAGTATGCTACTAGTGCTGAGGTAAGAAAAGTTTTGGTTTGTGGAATGTACGTAAGTGGTCACTAGAGAGTGATCTTGATGGCTTCAGGACCACAGAAAAGAGAGAGAGAGAGAGAGATTGGACTATAGAACACGCCTCTGTGCCATTACATAAGGACTGCCTTGTAGATTGTAGATGTCAATTGGGTTACACATCAGAAGTGGGGTTATATAGTAGAAGAAACTGGAAACTGATGGAAATTCTGGTTAACGGTTGACCCGTCCATGCTCTGCCCACAAATATAGCGACTTTTGCTAGGTTGGACATGCTTTACAGAGCATACAAGAATCCTATTACACCCAGTGACAAACCTGTGTCGGTCTTTGTTTACAGTTTCTACATACACCGATCGGGCATAACATTATGACCACCTCCTTGTTTCGACGCTCATTGTCCATTTTATCAGCTCCACTTACTATATAGGTGCACTTTGTAGTTCTACAGTTACAGACTGTAGTCCATCTGTTTCTCTGCATACTTTGTTAGCCCCCTTTTACCCTGTTCTTCAGTGGTCAGGACCCCCATGGACCCTCACAGAGCAGGTACTATTTGGTTGGTGGATCTTTCTCAGCACTGCAGTAACACAGACATGGTGGTGGTGTGTTAGTGTGTGTTGTGCTGGTCTGAGTGGATCAGACACAGCAGTGCTGCTGGAGTTTTTAAACCCTGTGTCCACTCACTGTCCACTCTATTAGACACTCCTACCTTGTCAGTCCACCTTGTAGCTGTAAAGTCAGAGACGATAGCTCATCTGCTGCTGCAGTTTGTGTTCGTCACCCTCTAGTCCTTCATCAGTGGTCACAGGACGCTGCCCACAGGACGCTGTTGGCTGGATATTTTTGGTTGGTGGACTATTCTCAGTCCAGCAGTGACACTGAGGTGTTTAAAAACTCCAGCAGCACTGCTGTGTCTGATCCACTCAGACCAGCACAACACACACTAACACACCACCACCATGTCTGTGTTACTGCAGTGCTGAGAAAGATCCACCAACCAAATAGTACCTGCTCTGTGAGGGTCCATGGGGGTCCTGACCACTGAAGAACAGGGTAAAAGGGGGCTAACAAAGTATGCAGAGAAACAGATGGACTACAGTCTGTAACTGTAGAACTACAAAGTGCACCTATATAGTAAGTGGTGCTGATAAAATGGACAATGAGCGTCGAAACAAGGAGGTGGTCATAATGTTAGGCCTGGTCAGTGTAACCCTGTGTTTGCAGTTTAAAATGCAACACTACCGAGCTTCGCTGTGCTGCTGTAGCTATCGAAACTAGGCAGGTTGGAAATGACAACAGTGAATTAGCCACCATGCTAATGTTAGCTCGATTAACTCGACAAAAATAAACTACACCTGGGCTATCCTAACATGTGACCTTTTTTACATGCACCCTCATAGTAGAGTTATAGACGCTATTGGCCCAAACTGTAGGGCCTAATTGTTCCTGCAGTCGTATTGTGCCGGTTACGGTTTCCTTTTTCCGTCTGACATGCTGCTAAAAAGGGCCAGGGAACACCCAAGAAAAACTACGCAGGACAGCGGCTTAACGAAAGCTAACAGCTACACATCACAGAATGCGTTTGATTTCGGCCGTCAAAACACCAAACACTCAGCTTTGTGTTGTGTGAGGTGAGTCTTTATTTTCTGTGTAATTGGTTAGCTGGAACTGAGATTTGAGGAAAATATTTAATTGTGATCTTTTTCTAACCAACATTTCGATTGCACTTTAAATGCAATTAGTTTCTGTAAATTCAGCACCAGGCTTTTTTTTGCCAGTAAGACCAGCACAACCATGTTTTTGGGGTTGTTTGTAGAGTGAAATAAGACACTACTTATTGTTATCGCCACAGTATACTGTTCTGAGCATATCGTGGATATCACTGGTAGTTAAATCCATTTCCCAACTGGGTGTTTGATGACAAAGGGACTTATTTTATTGGATTCAGTGCAGCCAGGATGTGAAATTTTAGATATGAATCCTTGCATTCGTTGTTTTTCATAATACCTTTTAATGTGGCAATACTTGGTCTTGTAGATGTCAGGAACAATATGCATTCTGACGTATCATCATGTGTTGTGAAAACGTCTTGAAGTATGTTTATATTACGTTTTTGCCAAATCACCCAGCTCGGCTTGGGTGCCAGACTGCCAGTTCACAAACTCTAAGGTTAAATTTCCCAACCAAAAACTTGCGAATACAGCTTTTTATAATGTAAGATATTTTAAAATGACACTTATTCAAATTGCATTTCCTTTTAAAGCATTTATTTTTCAGAACACTCAAAGAACCCTTGATGATTAATGTGTTCTTTGCATGATCAAAGGGTTCTTTACATTCTTCAGATTGATGAAGAAAATGCTGAAGATGGTTCTATATAGCACCAAAAAGAGTTTTTCTATTCTTATAGGCTTGACATGGTAACCATAGTGGAACCTTGCTGTATAGAACCCTTTTCAAAAAGGATCAATATAGAAGCGTGTTCTACAGCAATCTAAAGAACCCTTTCACGAGGCAAGGAACTCGTTAATCATGCAAAGGGTTCCCTGTGTATTAATGGTTCCTCATAGAACCATTTTCTTTACTAAAGAACCCTTGAAGAAACTTTTATTGTTTAAGAGTGTTCAATGAAACATTTCACACCAAACCAGTCTGAGTGTCTGTTTACGTTTCAGCTATCTCGAAGAAATTTTGAAAAATTGGTGGAATTCCCCTTTACTAATGCACTCTAATGTAGGTATTTTGTCAGAGTTGTGTGATTTTCTGTTATTTTGAATGGGATTTTTTTTCTGTAAAGCTGGCAACAGTTGCTATGAGAGACCGTGTTTGTGGGTGGAGCATAGATGGGTCAATTCACCACCATTTGAAACCGGACGTGTCCCGGCTGTGGGCTTCTGATGTGCGGTAACCCAAAGAGGTTATTAAAACAAATCAATGCTGTATGCTGCTGCAGACTAAGGTTTTATTTTTATTTTCTTTTTTTTTCCAGATTTTATTTTCCTTTTAGGCTGAGGAAGCCTAGGAGAGAACAATTTGTCAGTAGGGCACTTTTTTTTATTTTCTACCTTTTTTATAATTTCATTCACAATGGATTGCACATAAGTTCATCCTGTTAATCCAGTATTGTTGCGGTTGCGCAACTCAAGCCGGACTTCTCAGACGAAATAAAACGATGCTAGACAAACGTATTCATTTCCCTTAAGCTATTGTGTTTATACGAAATTAAACAGCATTAATTTCTATATTAGAACTGAATGTTACTCGGTGGGAATGTATGAATAACTGGATAATATCAGACTTTTGCTAGTATAATAAAATAATAATCAGAATCTTAGAGATTTAACAGAACCGTGAGGATTTCTGTGAAAAAGTGTTAAAAAAAATAAAAAATAAATAAAAACCTCTGCCAGTTTGAATTAAAGACTGAGCACTATAACCTTAGATGAAGGTCCCCTCATATTGCTTATGGAGTCCTTATGTTTATATTTAGCTGTGATTTTCCTCTTTATTTAATCTTTTCTATCATTAACCTACACCCTCAGAACCCTGAGAACTGTGTAGAACCTTGTTTCTCTAATTGCTGTTGAGCATCTTTATTTGAGTAAAATATGCACACTATTAACATTAGAAGCTCAAGGATCTTTATTTTGTAGGGTTTTTTTTTTATTTTTTGTTTTGTTTTCTTGCTTAACTCGGTGTCCTAGTTTTGTTTTCATCCTATGCAACTCAATATTCGACAGATCTGTGTGGTTTTTAATTATTTTTTTTTTTCAGCTTCACATATTCATCTGCTTCAGGAAAACTCAACAGCAATATTTTTGTTACAACCGACTCAGGCTTTTTTGAAAATCTCGGTGCTATTTATTGCTTTGGAAGACAGTGTACACTAACGAGACGTTGGCGAAACGTGTCCCCTCAGGATGCTTTCTTTACACTTCACTGTAAGAGCAGGCGAGAGTACAATTAGTGGAACGTACTGGAATACAAAAAAAAATACTAGATTTGACGTCTCCTGATAGTATTTTCATAAGATTTTGTAAAAGTGTTTTGTAGCATTAATCGGGAAGACCTCAGACGGGGGTTTGTAAGAACTCCTAACTTCGATTCACGTGACGAATTTGGTTTTGATAGAAAATGCCCTGCGTTACAAGATGTTATCCAACCACTCACAGCTACGAGCACTAACTGTAAGGCAGGTTTTGGACTTCAACATCGATACCTCTATTTTTGTTTTATTTTAATATTTCATAAACTAAGTGATGTGTGTGAAACGTTTCTCAGTTGGTGTACAAGTGCTAGATCCATACAGCTTTTTCTTTTTTTCGTTTTTTACTGGCTTTGAGCAGGCTTTATAGCCAAAGAAATAAACCCATCAAATCAAAACCTGTTGTGACTGTCAGTTTTTGGTATGTGGTGGTTTGATATGGTAAAAATTCCCTCAAATGTTGTCACAAAATTTCCACTCAAAACTTTTTTAGGCTGCCAACAAGAACTGTTTGCTGTTACATTGTTAAAGCTGCAGTATGTAAGATTTGGGGATTCCCCTCTGGTGGAAAAGTGTAATTGCACGCAACATGCAGAAGAACAGGGGCAGCACGGTGGCGCAGTGGGTAGCGCGGTTGCCTCACAGCAAAAAGGGCCTGGGTTCGATTCCCGGCCGGGTGACCAGGATCCTTTCTGTGTGCAGTTTGCATGTTCTCGCGTGGGTTTCCTCCGGGTACTCCGGTTTCCTCCCACAGTTTCCAAAAACGTGCAGTCAGGCTGATTGGACATGCTAAATTGCCCCTAGGTGTGAGTGTGTGAATGTGTATGTCTGTCTGTCTGCCCTGCGATGGACTGGCGACCTGTCCAGGGTGTATCCTGCCTTCTGCCCAATGACAGCTGGGATAGGCTCCAGCACCCCACCGCGACCCAGAAGGATAAGCGGTTTAGATGATGGATGGATGGATGCAGAAGAACATTCTGCAACTCGGGTTGTGCTTCGTCTCCCTTCCCCAAGTGGATGAATCTGATGATTGGGAGCGAGTTGAAGGAGAACTCGAGCTCAGTCCAAACTTGGTGAAGGTGCATCTTCAGAGGATGTGAGTGAATTATCTACTATCATCATCACGTCTTCATCAGTATAATGTTGATTCTGAGATCATTTGAGGCCTAAACATCGAGCTGGACCTTGTTTCTGAGTTTGTGTGTGACGTTAATACATAAAGACGTACGACGTGGTGTGAAAAACTCCCGACCCGATGCCTCTGACTTTTAATGAATTATTTCATGATTTACAGAGCGACTCACAGCAGCGCACACTCACCATATTTTAGCCTGTTTTAATTCCCCTGACTCAGTAATGGCACTTCTTTCAGTTTTAACCAAAACATTTAACATACTGCAGCTTTGTTAGTCCATAAACTGAACCTTTTATCTGAAGCCAGTTTGTTTACATTATAAACTACTGAAATAATTTCTTCTTCGTTTTTCTTCTTCCTCTTCTTCCACTTCTTCTTCTTCTTCTTCTTCTTCTTCTTCTTCTTCTTCTTCTTCTTCTTCTTCTTCTTCTTCTTCTTCTTCTTCTTCTTCTTCTTCTTCTTCTTCTTCTTCTTCTTCTTCCACTTCCACTTCCTCTTCTTCTTGCCAAATGAGCACTGGGAGAAGCTCCAGCACCCCCCATGACCCAAGAGGATAAGTGGCTTAGAAGATGAATGAAGTTGTTGTTGTTGTTGTTGTTGTTGTTGTTGTTAATATTATTATTATTAATATTAATAAGGTGTTGGGGTAAGGTTTAGTATAGCGTAGTGGGTAGCCCAATAATTAAATTGTAGGTTACTGTAGATAATAAAAGTAAATGTAAGGTAGAATAACCAATTGGCTCCAAGATGTTGGATATAGATAATATGTAAGATAATCCTCTTGTGTAAGGAAGGAGAAAGTCAAAGTGAAAATAAGTGGGGGAAAAAACTGGAGTTCAAAAAATTATTAAAAGCTACTGAGAAAATGTGGCTCCTAACAACCACCTGGAAGACCTGGTAGACACCAAAACTGCCCCATCAGATAAACAGCACTTAAAGCTTTCATCTCTGAGAGAGAGGAGAAAATCAAGCTGCTTCAGATCTGAAAACATCCACAGGTGTTTCTGTCCATCCTTCCACTGTGAGAAGACGACTCAGCGCTGTAGGTCTGAAGGATGTGTAGCTGTCAAGAAGAACCTCACTGAGAAAAGGAGACGGACACATCAAACAAAGAAGCTGAACAATGGACTGACCACCCCAGAGTCCAGACCTCAACATCACTGAATGGGTTTGATTACTTCAGAAAACGATCAACCAGCTTCTAAGACTGGACTGTGGAGGTGTGTCTGCAGATTCTTTGAGGAACTGAAAGTGAGTCTCCTGAAAAGAATGGAAGCCAGAATACAGGTAAAGAGTCACAAACTAAATATGAAAAATTGACATATTTAGTTGAGGCTTCTGTGTAATTTTGTTGTTGAATTTATTTGTGTAGTTTCTACTATAACAGCTATTTTGACTGGAAATTAAATAAATGGAGGGTGGTCTCTGACTTCTCCACCACAATGTATACTGGGGTGATGGTGCCAGTCTTTTTAGAGTGATTACTGTGTTTTACATATTGTAAAATAAAAGTACATTATTTAAAATGTGAATCATAGCATTTTGGACCATGCCAAATTTGAAATAAACACAGCAACCGCTGCAAAAGCTGCATGGCTGAACCGATTGAGAATTGAAAATTTATTCAGTTTTATATTAGTACTCAAATTACAGTTTGCAAAACAGGCGGTCAGACTTTTTTAATGACCTTATAGCCTTTTCAACATTAAAGGGAACAAAAGTTTTGATACAAAACTCGTGCTGGGTTTGTTGTTTACATTTTATGACTATGGAGATTACCTAAGAGTACAGTTATGTTGATAATACAACACTCATTAACCTTGTTTTCATCAATATTATTAAAACAACACATTAATACGTTTCCCCATTCATTTCTGTTTACGTTAAAACCACATGTCCCGCCAACCTTCGCGCCTCTGTGTGTACCAATCACTATGCTCGGCCGCTTTGATTGACATGCCGTTAAAGATAGGTGATTGGTTCATCCTTTTGTCCCGCCTGTTGCGGTCTCCGCCAATCCGTTGCGGCCGCTTTGCTGTCAGCCAATCAGAAGACTTGAGGCGACTGCTACGGTTTTGTTTGGATTTTAGCTGAGGGAGCTAAAGCGGTTGTGTAATTGTACGAAGTGTTTAACGGTAATTTTAACGTATTCCGAAGTGAAGCCGTGTCGAGTGGCTTTATTAAGGTGTATAAGAATCAGTTTTTGATAGTTTGGTGTAATAAAGCAGCAGCAAGATGGTGAACGTAACTGTTACAGCGAGTGGCTAAGCTAGCTAAGCTACTTGACAACCTGTTGATTGGATGCGAATAATCAGGTAGGAGCTGAGCGTTAAAGCCGAACACCTTCGCTTTACTGACGTTACGATGCTTTAACTTCTCTGTTTGTGAAAAGAAGACGTCGATTATTCTTTTAATTTATGTAACTTTAAGTTTTCTTTTTTACCTTTTTTTTTTTATAAAGCACGAACCTGAGGTTGGCTTCTAACTTTCCGTTCCACCTTAAATGGTGCAGCAGCTAGAATGTGCCTGCTGCGCCGTTTAAGGTGGAACGGAAAATTCCACTAACTTCAGCCTCGTTCAGAAGGCTTAACGGGAAATTCCACCTATTTTTCAAATTTTCCGTGTATTTCAATGCTTGAAATATAAACAGTCATTCAGTGTGGTTTGATTGTGAAGTTGTTCATTTGCTGAGAAACTTAACCTACAGACTCAGATTTCTTTACAGTGGTGGTGATAGGAACCAGACGTCCACCTCTAAAAGCTCCCTCACAGAAAGTTGCTACATGAAACTGTTATGCATTCACTGCCTGATGTCTGAGACGTGGTTTTATGGTACTTTTGTGATAAAGTTTGGGCTTAAAATTTATTTGAATCCAGTCATGGTGGAGGGATACATACGGGACGTTGTGAGACAAAATAGTCCCCAAAGCAAACTTTTTGTTTTCAGATTTATGACTGTTTTGCCATCATCGACATTACATATAAAACTCAGAAGACTCGTGTAGGTTCACTGGTGGTTTTGGATAGTAAGTAAAATGTCTATATTTGTGTTGTAGACAATTTCAAATCTTCCCTTTTTATCAAAAATTTTAGAGAAAGCTGTGGCAAAACAATTATGTTCCCATCTGCATAGGAGTAATATGCATGAACAATTTCAGTCTGGCTTCAGGCCTCACCATAGTACCGAAACAGCGTTAGTGAAAATTGTGAATGATCTTTTATTATCCGCTGACAAAGGAAACATATCCTTACTGGTTTTACTCGATCTTAGTGCAGCTTTTGACACAATAGACCATTCCATTCTATTAGACAGGCTTGAGAAACTAGTAGGAGTGACAGGTGAAGCTCTTTCGTGGTTCAAATCTTACCTTAGTGATCGCTGTGAGTTTGTTAATGTAAATGGTGAACCATCAGCTCTCACAAGAGTAAAGTGTGGTGTTCCACAGGGCTCTGTCTTAGGACCCTTGTTATTTATCTTATATATGGTACCACTAGATACCATCATTAGAAAACATGGCATCAGTTTCCACTGCTGTGCCGATGATACACAATTATATATTTCAGCTAAACCAGAGGAGAAAACTGAACTTAATAAGATAGAAGACTGTGTAAAAGACATTAAAGACCGGATGCCAAGTAACTTCCTCTTACTAAACTCAGACAAAACAGAAGTTCTTCTTCTTGGTCCAGAAGCTGCTAGGAATAATCTGCCTACATTTACTCTTAATCTCGATAGGTTTTCAATTGCACCAGGCACATCTGTAAAAAGTCTTGGTGTCACGATTGATCCCAGTCTGGCCTTCGATGAGCATATTACCAATATTACCAGAATAGCTCTCCTCCACCTGCGTAACATCGCTAAATTAAGAAATGCACTGTCGCTACAGGACGCAGAAACGTTAGTTCACGCCTTCATCACGTCCAGGTTAGATTACTGTAACGCTCTGCTTTCTGGTTGTTCCAGCCAAAACCTTAACAAGCTTCAGTTAGTCCAGAACGCTGCAGCCAGAGTTCTCAGCAAAACCAGGAAATTTGGCGCAATTTGACCACATTAGCCCAATTTTGTGTACATTACATTGGTCGCCAGTTAAATTCCGCATTGAGTACAAAATTCTTCTACTGACATATAAAGCTCTGAATGGCCTTGATCCTCAGTACCTCAGTGACCTTATTTCCTATTATCAACCAACACGCCCACTTAGATCACAAGGTGCTGCTCATTATTAGTACCCAGAATAAATAAAGTTACGTCAGGGGGAGGAGCCTTTTCATACAAAGCCCCCCAGCTTTGGAATAGCCTACCAGTCTGTGTTCGGGACACAGCTTCCATCTTTAAGTCTAGGCTAAAAACTTACCTGTTTAGTCGAGCCTTTGGTTAATTTGTTTTCCTAACTATGTCCCCCTTATCCCCCCACCCACCCCCCCTTCCCCCCTCCCCCTCTTTTTCCCTGAGCTGAGCGGCTGCCTGTCCTAAGAGGGTCTGACGTGACTGATGTGGCCGGCGCTCTGCACAGTGGTGTTAAACTGTATCCACTTATACTGTTTTGTGTCTGTGCTGTTATCTGGTGTCGACCAGAGGAGGATGGGTTCCCCTATTTGAGTCTGGTTCCTCTCGAGGTTTCTTCCTCCTGTTGAGGGAGTTTTTCCTTGCTCACTGGGGGACCCGGATTCTCTGTCAAGCTGCTTTGTGACAACATCTGTTGTAAAAGGTGCTATATAAATAAATTTGACTTGACTTGACTTGACTTGACTTGACGTGACCCCTGGTTCCTATCACCACCACTGTAAAGAAATCTGAGTCTCTGCAGTCAACCATTTCACACCAAACCACTCGGAATGACTATTTACCTCTAAACGACTGAATTATTCAGAAATTTTGAAAAATTAGTGGAAGTCCCCATTAAATTGTTAATCGGTTTGTCTAGCTAGCTAAACTCACTAGTTGACAAACTTTAAAGGTCCATTTTGAGCTGACACTCCATTTTTGCATTGATTTGCCTTACGATGTGATGCAGACCTGTTCAGATGCACTTTTAAGCTAATATTAAGTTAATTTTGTCACGCAGGCTCGGGTGAGGTGGTTTCTTCTCCCACCGACTTGGTTATGAGGGCCACCAATGTTTAACGCAGACAGAGACTTAGTTGAAGATGTGGTCTCTTTGAGAAATCAACTGCGGTTAACAGAGAAGAATTTGCAAGCTCTTGGAGAGAAGTTAAGGTAGGCATGGGGGTCTCGTTCAGTTTGTTTTACCTCAAGAAAGGTTTGTGTTGTTTAAAGGGTCCATATCATTGAAAACTGAATTTTCTCAGTTTGATGTAGTGTGTAAACAGTGTTCAAAGTGTATCCCAGTCCATAACGTTCAGATATGGAAACTAGACTGCAAAGCATCCTGTTGTCAATGAATTGTTTTTGTGATGTCACAAAAACAAACACATTCACATGTAAGCACCTATAGCAGTTTGGCGCCGCCGATTTGTGTTGATATTATAAGGAGTGTTGGATCCTGGACTGCTTTTAGGAAGGAAAAGCCAATCAGGAAAGAGCTCATTTACATACATCAGTCTGTTCAAAGGAGAGGTTAGAAAATGGTGAAGTAAAAATTAATTAAACTCTTTGGTTCATAAATCCACATAAATGTCTTAAGTGGACCTCAGGGGAAGAACGTTAAATACAAGCTAAGTGTAAGATATAGGTCCTTTAAGTTGAATTACATTAAATTGATTTATATTATTACTTACACCAATCAGGCATAACATTATGACCACCTCCTTGTTTCTGTGCTCATTGTCCATTTTTTCAGCTCCACTTACTACATAGGTGCACTTTGTAGTTCTACAGTTACAGACTGTAGTCCATCTGTTTCTCTGATACTTTGTTAGCCCCCTTTTACCCTGTTCTTCAGTGGTCAGGACCCCCATGGACCCTCACAGAGCAGGTACTATTTGGGTGGTGGATCATTCTCAGCACTGCAGTAACACTGATGTGGTGGTGGTTGTGTTAGTGTGTGTTGCGCTGGTATGAGTGGATCAGACACAGCAGTGCTGCTGGAGTTTCTAAACACCTCAGTGTCACTGCTGGACTGAGAATAGTCCACCAACCAAAAATATCCAGCCAACAGCGTCCTGTGGGCAGCGTCCTGTGACCACTGATGAAGGACTAGACGATGACCAACACAAACTGTGCAGCAGCAGATGAGCTATCATCTCTGACTTTACATCTACAAGGTGGACTGACAAGGTAGGAGTGTCTAATAGAGTGGACAGTGAGTGGACACAGTGTTTAAAAACTCCAGCAGCACTGCTGTGTCTGATCCACTCATATCAGCACAACACACACTAACACACCACCACCACGTCAGTGTTACTGCAGTGCTGAGAATGATCCACCACCCAAATAGTGGAGCTGATAAAATGGACAATGAGCGTCGAAACAAGGAGGTGGTCATAATGTTATGCCTGATGGTGTATGTCCATAGAGAATCCTTTTAAATGTTTTTTATATGATTATTAAGAGAATAGCTGGACTATATCTGCCTCTGTTTAGTCTATCAAACAGTATAAGGATCTCTGACTTGGCTTTTCTTTTGGCAGCCAGTCTGAACATGACAGCGTCGCTGAGCACAGAGCTGAAAGTGGATCAGACGATTTTCCAGAGCACCTCACCTTAGAGGACCTCCAGAAGCCTGATGCTGGAAAGGCACCGTCCTGTCTGGATAACCCAGAGAGCTCAAACTCTCCAAAGAGATCAGAGTGGCGAACATGTTCAGGAGCGCACAGCTGTGATTACAGAGTGAGACTTTATTAAAAGCTTTGTGTGTTTTAAATGATGTGTTTTGATACAGATTTAAATTTCTGAGCTCATAACGATTTGATTCGATTCGTTAGGAAATGGTTCAGTGCATCACAGAAATCAATCTCACCAAGATTTGATTTGACTAGATAGAATAGAAATAAACAGATGGATGGATAGATAGATAAAATAGATGTACAGATGGATGGATGGATAGATAGATAAAATAGATATACAGATGGATAGATAGATGGATGGATAGATAGATAAAATAGATGGATGGATGGATAGATGGATGGATAGATGGATAAAATAGATATACAGATGGATGGATGGATAGAAAAAATAGCTATACAGATGGATGGATAGATGGATGGCTAGATAGATAAAATAGATATACAGATGGATGGCTAGATAGATAAAATAGATATACAGATAGATGGATGGATAGATAGATAGATAAAATGGATGGATGGATGGATAGATAAAATAGATATACAGATGGATGGATAGATGGATGGCTAGATAGATAAAATAGATATACAGATAGATGGATGGATAGATAGATAAAATGGATGGATGGATGGATGGATGGATAGATATACAGATAGATGGATGGATAGATATACAGATAGATGGATGGATAGATATACAGATAGATAGATGGATGGATAGATAGATAAAATATATATACAGATAGATAGATGGATGGATGGATAGATATATGGATGGATGGATAGATGGATGGATAGATGGATAAAATAGATATACGGATGAATGGATGGATGGATGGATAGATAAAATGGATATACAGATGGATGGATGGATAGATAGATAAAATAGATATATAGATGGATGGATGGATGGATAGATAAAATAGATATACAGATAGATGGATGGATAGATAGATGGATAGATAGATAGATAGATAGATAGATAAAATGGATGGATGGATGGATGGATAGATATACAGATAGATAGATAGATGGATGGATAGATATACAGATAGATAGATGGATGGATAGATAGATAAAATATATATACAGATGGATGGATAGATATACGGATGGATGGATGGATGGATGGATGGATGGATAGATGGATGGATAGATGGATAAAATAGATATACGGATGGATGGATGGATAGATAAAATAGATATATAGATGGATGGATAGATAAAATAGATATATAGATGGATGGATAGATAAAATAGATATATAGATGGATGGATAGATAAAATGGATGGATAGATAAAATGGATGGATAGATAAAATAGATATATGGATGGATAGATGGATGGATGGATAGATAAAATGGATGGATAGATAAAATAGATATATGGATGGATAGATGGATGGATGGATACATAAGATGGATGGATGGATAGATATACAGATAGATGGATGGATAGATAGATAAAATAGATATATAGATGGATGGATAGATGGATGGATAGATAGATAAAATATATATACAGATAGATAGATGGATGGATAGATGGATAAAATAGATATACGGATGGATGGATGGATGGATAGATAAAATGGATATACAGATGGATGGATGGATAGATAGATAAAATAGATATATAGATGGATGGATGGATGGATAGATAAAATAGATATACAGATGGATGGATAGATGGATGGCTAGATAGATAAAATAGATATACAGATAGATGGATGGATAGATAGATAGATAGATAGATAGATAAAATGGATGGATGGATGGATGGATAGATATACAGATAGATAGATAGATGGATGGATAGATATACAGATAGATAGATGGATGGATAGATAGATAAAATATATATACAGATGGATGGATAGATATACGGATGGATGGATGGATGGATGGATGGATAGATGGATAAAATAGATATACGGATGGATGGATGGATAGATAAAATAGATATATAGATGGATGGATAGATAAAATAGATATATAGATGGATGGATAGATAAAATGGATGGATAGATAGATAAAATAGATATATGGATGGATAGATGGATGGATGGATACATAAGATGGATGGATGGATGGATAGATATACAGATAGATGGATGGATGGATAGATAGATAAAATAGATATATAGATGGATGGATAGATGGATGGATAGATAGATAAAATAGATATATAGATGGATGGATAGATGGATGGATGGATGGATAGATAGATAAAATAGATATATAGATGGATGGATAGATAAAATAGATATATAGATGGATGGATAGATAAAATGGATGGATAGATAGATAAAATAGATATATAGATGGATGGATAGATGGATGGATAGATAAGATGGATGGATGGATGGATAGATATACAAATAGATGGATGGATAGATAGATAAAATAGATATATAGATGGATGGATAGGTGGATGGATAGATAGATAAAATAGATATATAGATGGATGGATAGGTAAAATAGATGGATGGATAGATAGATAAAATAGATATATAGATGGATGGATAGATAAAATGGATGGATGGATAGATGGATGGATAGATAGATAAAATAGATATATGGATGGATGGATAGATAAGATGGATGGATGGATGGATAGATATACAGATAGACGGATGGATAGATAGATGGAAGGATAGATAGATGGATGGATGGATAGATAGATAAAATAGATATATAGATGGATGGATGGATGGATAGATAAGATGGATGGATGGATGGATAGATATACAGATAGACGGATGGATAGATAGATGGAAGGATAGATAGATGGATGGATGGATAGATAGATAAAATAGATATATAGATGGATGGATGGATAGATAAGATGGATGGATGGATGGATAGATATACAGATAGACGGATGGATAGATAGATGGATGGATAGATATATAGATGGATGGATAGATAGATAAAATAGATATATAGATGGATGGATAGATGGATGATAGATAAAATGGATGGATGGATGGATGGATAGATAGATAGTGTTACAGTTGCAAGACATATAATTGCACATAAACTTCCATATTAGGCAGAAATAAGTGTTGGACGTAAGTCAGAGTAAAGCCTGAGAGGAGAAGTGTATCTGTTTACATGTTTAAATACCATATAAGACGGATTTCTTGTGTTTACATGAGAGCAGATATTACACTAAACAGTATGAGGTAGTTACAGCACAATGAGTATAAACGTACCTAGGAGCGTCAGCAGTATTTGCAGTCTAAAGTGCGCAGTGAGAGCGTTGTTACAGTAGCGGTTATGATATATTTTTTGTTTAGAAGAGAGGTGATATAGTGATGTCATTACTTTGGTAACACAATGCGCAAGGGATGCACCGATGTAAAATTGGGCAGAGATCCTATAATATTCAGGTGTAAATGCTGATGTCGATACATAAACATTTATGGAATGTAGAAGTCAGGATTGTTAGATAAAAATAAAACATTTTGATAATGTAAGGTTACAAATGCAGATAATTTAGAGCAGTAATTCAGCATCACCTAAACGTTCTGCTCTTCCAGAGTTCAATAAATACATCATCAAAATCGGTTAAAAATATTAGGCAAATATAAACACCTGTCCAATAATCTACCGATACCAAGATGACGTTGTTGTGCACAACTGTTACTTGAGATAATATTTACTGTTATTGCACTACTATTTATGATTAAATATGTTTATATTTGTCATTGCTTCTACTAACACTACTAAAACTAATATTTACACAGCAGAGGCATGTATCTAATCAAAGCAGTCAACCAGACTTTTTTCAATCTATTTTTCCTTATTTATTATTTTATTATTTTTATTACATTTTAATTCTTATTTCCTTATTTATTTTTTGCGTTTTACATTAGAAATAGCTCAAATTGTATTATGATCAAAAAATTATTGTGTACTGTATTGAATGTTATAATGAATTATGATTTCCGGATTTGTGCTGTTTTTACATTTTAACACCCGTATTTAAAACAGTTTAAACTCACTGTTTTCTCCTGCAGCTCCACTCAGTCAGAGACATGGAGAACGAGACGTCTCAGCTCAGGAGGAAGCTCAGCACCGTTCGGCAGGAGAACTCTTCTCTGGTGCTGGAGAACAGGCAGCTCATCAATGATCTGGAGGCCACACAGCTGGAGCTGGCCAGCTCCAGGTCCAAGGTACCACACTGTTAGGGTAGCTATTAGATAGATCAGCTGCCTGAAATAGCTTAATTAATTACATCTTAATCATTTAAGATTTGCTGCAGTTTGCAACACACACTAACACACCACCACCACGTCAGTGTTACTGCAGTGCTGAGAATGATCCACCACCCAAATAGTACCTGCTCTGTGAGGGTTCATGGGGGTCCTGACCACTGAAGAACAGGGTAAAAGGGGGCTAACAAAGTATGCAGAGAAACAGATGGACTACAGTCTGTAACTGTAGAACTACAAAGTGCACCTATATAGTAAGTGGGGCTGATAAAATGGACAATGAGCGTAGAAACAAGGAGGTGGTCATAATGTTATGCCTGATCGGTGTGTATAGAACTGTACAGTACATTCTCCATCAATCTGAAGAACCCTTTTATGATGCAAAGAACTCTTTGTATCATGCAGAGGGTTTTTTGAGTGTTCCTTCTTCTATATAGAACCATTTTCTTTACTAAAGAACCCTTGAAGAACCATCTTTAAGTGTGTACCAGAGATGTACAATCAAATGTTCCTTACTTATTTCTTACTGTGATGTGGTAAAAGTTTCTGTGCTTTTAGTACTTTATTTAAATAAGCTTGCACAGGTTAACACTTTCATTTTGTGCACATTAATAAAAATAAAGGTATCATAAAAGCTTTTTTAATGAGTTCATGTTTAAATATTTAGTTATTCCTGCTTCACATTGGAAAAGTTTTGTATTATAAGAAAAAAGAACTTGTGAGAATTTAAATATTTTTTTTAGTTCATTCCATTGGGGTTGGGCATTAAGGCAATAATACTACTACTACTACTAATAATAATAATAGTTTATTAAATTATTAATATTGAGCATTGTGTACTGTATTTAGTATCTGTTTAAAAATGTAAATTCTGGTATTGTGACAGCTCAGCTCTGGACTAATCATGCCTTTTCAGACCATCTATGTAGTTATATATCCGTTAGTGAATTGCAGTCGTTATGTCCTGCGCATATTTAACATCACAGCGTCAAAAAAGCCTTGCAGAGCCTTGTAGACCACGACAGCGTTTTAGGGCCACTGTGAAAAAAATTAAAAATAGTAGACTTTGAGAAATAAATCATAATATTTTGAGATAAAAAGTCATACTTTCCAATATTTTGAAAATAAAGTCTTAATATTTTGAGGCTAGAGTTGTAATATTTCTAGAAAAAGTCATTACCAGAAAGGTTACAATATTGTGGCCAAAGTGTTTGCAAAAGGAAGGTAGCAGCTTCCTCCTGTTACAATGAGGGGCGTTGAGGAGTTGGTAGAGTTAGACGTTCACATCAGTTTCTCCAATAAAGAAACACTCAGTCTCCCTGTCTCTCCTGACGCATCAGCACCAGCCTGTTATTAGAATAAGAAACGGCTGAACAGGAAACTTTATTATGAATAAAGAGCCAGACGGACTCGGAGGAAACTGTCTGTCTGTTTTGTTGAAGGAGAATCGCAGGCAGGGTCGTCTACATGGCTATCAGTGGCTACGTCTCTGTGCCATTTGAAGAGGGCATGTAGTTTCACAGGAGACAGAATGATAGTCAAACTGATTGATCCTGAAGGAGTGAGTGGAATTCCGGCGCGCTCAGCGTCTTCGTGGTTGCCAGTACAGCAACCGAGACCCCAGTGTCTTACGGCAGCCCCCCTACAGTTGGCCTACTTTATTCTCTAATAATTTTGCGAGTTTATTCTTGTAACTTTATGACTTTATTCTCAAAATTATACCAGTTTATTTAAAAGAATACAACTTTATTCTCAAAATATTACGACTTTATTCTCAAAGCGAATAGAAGCACAACTCACATTACAGCCTGCAGCTTTACAGCACTTTACTCGGCCAGATTTGACTGACTGAAAATAACCATTTGGACCTGACTAATATGTAGAACACTGCTGTATATATTGTGCTGTTTTGCAGATTCGTTTGCTCGGCTCCTCCATGGGGGTGAAGAGCACTAGTGTGTCGGTGATGAAGGACCACATACAGGATTTGGAGTCACAGCTGGAGAGTCAAACCAGAGCCCTGCTGTAACTCCACTTTCCTTCTTCTATAATCAAACATTTCTCTCCAAAAACGTTATTACTGCTGGTTGATTACAGCAAAGGAAAAGTCAGTGTTATTGAACATATAGACCACATTCTCTGTGAGCCACATTAGCATTTGATGTACATTTGTGTAAATTACTAAGTATTTCACATTTGAAAATAGATTGCAGATTTTATTTTGGACAAAACTAAGTATGTAATTGTATATTTTTAAGTCTCTGAGAGTACTCTTCATTTAATCTCAATATTTCTGCAGGGAAGCTGAGCAGAAACTTGCAGCGAGTGAGCAGACTGCAGTCCAGAACGACAGAGTGGTGGAGAAACTCAAAGAGGAGCTGAAAGCGATTAAAGCCGAATTATCTGATAAGACTCGGCAGTGGAAACGGTGATTGATGTCTCCATTTTTTTAACAAATTTACAGTGTATCTGCGAACTGGGAGTGCAGTGTCCACTTCATTACACACAAAACATCATTCCTCATTTTGTTTTGATTAAAAACTGCTTGATTACAAATATTTTAAATATAAAAATATGTTTCTTTGCCAGTACGGAGCAGCAGAGAAACCAGGCTCTTCAAAATGCAGAGAGACTGACTGTGGCCTTCAAAGACTACAAAGGAGAAGTTGCTGTAAAATTGAAAAAGGTAAAACACAGCTTGGCACAGTTTTTACACTCTCGAAAATAGCTTCATACTAGGCCTGTCACTGCTGATTACATTGATAATTGAATAATCTACCAATTGTTTTCATGGTTAATTGAGTAATGAGATTTTAAAAGGCCAAACAAAATAATAAGGCTTAACTGAACAGTAACAAACTTTGCACAGTCTTTCACAGATTCCAGCAAAGTTTATTGGAAAAAGATGTGATTAAAGATACCATTAAAAATAAATGTCCAAAAATGCAGATACGCTGTGTCCAAAAGTATTCAGACACCTCTTGAAATAACTGAATTTGACTTCTTTAAAGTGCACCCATTGCTGTTACAAGAGTTCAATAAGAAAAGCGTTGTCCAATAGATTGGGATGCACTGGAGCGTCCACACGTGAAACTAAGGTTACCTTGCTGAGCTACGGGCAGTGAAGCAGTGGAACTGTGTTCTCTGAAGTGATGGAGCTCCATCCAATACCTTTGGGATGAGTTGGAGTGATCCAGAACTGACCATCCAACATCAGTACCTGACCTCACTAATGCTCAATCAAATCCTCACAGCAATGTGCAACATCAAGTATAAAGTCTTCCCAGAAGAGTAGAAGCTGTTACTGCAGCAAAGGGGGACAAACTCACTATTAATACCATCAATTTCAGAAGAAACGCTGGATGAGCAGGTGTCTACAAACTTCTGGACATCCAGTGTAAATGTCCATCAGACTCTGTTTCTTACTGTGGTTTTAAAATATGCACCATCATTGTAAAAATGACCAGTGAATCATTGCTGATTCATCCAAACTGTTTTAGTTTATTCAGTTATTATTCTTGTACATAGTGGAACATGCTTGTCACTGTCTTGGGTGCAGGTCATGGGGAATGAGGGCAAGTTAAAGGCCAGTTTGATAGAGTGCGACAGAGAAAGAGAGGAGCTGGAGGACAGATGTAAAGAGCTGGAAAGAGAGAAGGAGAGGATGGGTCAGAACCTCAGGTAAGCAGCTGTGTCCAGAAGTCTTTGAGTGTTTTTGGGTCTCCTGAACAGCACTCAGGGTGTCCAACATTAAGGCATTAAGTACCTACTCTTTACTTTCTTTCTCATACACTCACTACTTTCGGGCGTTTTCACACGTGAAAGGCCGAACCATGGTTCATGTTTATGTTGAATTGTATACATTTGATCCAGTTAGTTTTGGTTTCACATTGCAATTTCGTGAGGGCACTAAAGAGCTTTGGATGATACACCAGCGTCTCCCTCTACTTAACACTGAGTACGTTTACATGCACTCAGTAATCCGATCATAATCCGATTTCTGCGGTTTATTCAAATGGTCTTTCTTAGATCGGAGTAGGGTCTAGAAATCTGATTAAGAAATCTGACAAAGTGAGCTGGATTTTAGCTCAAAAACCAGTGCTGTAAACTCTTACTCAGATTTCTTTCGGATTTCTCAGTCTGCGCATGTGTGAAAACAGACGGTGGTACCAGAAATAAGCAGACATTGTCGCTGTGAGACGCAGCAAAACACTTTTGAAGCAACGCTGAAACCAAATAAATGCTTGACGAAGTGCAGGATTTAAATATTTTTCATCTTCTCGATGATGTTTAATCATATTTTCAGGTAAAGTGGCGCAATGTTTTTAAAAAAGCAGCAGCGTGAAGTTTGAGTTTTACATTATGTTTACGTCACGTTGTCTTCTGTGAGTTTATTGGCTGGTTGCAAAGCAGAAATCCAATTACTGCCCGTCTCATTTAGACTTGGAGTTTCACATTATCTGATTACTCAAGTGCATCTAAACGTGTTGATCAGATTTGATTTTCTGCAGGATTATTAAATGCATGTAAACACAGTCACTGACTGTTTGTGGGGGAGCGTCTGACGTCGGCGTGTTTGGGATTAGGTGGGTAGCCTTTTCCATTTGAGTTGAGAAAAATGAATATGTTCTTAGTACATAATGAAAACGATATTTAATAATAATTTATTTTTTATTATTTCATAAAATTAAATAAAATAAGAAAAAAGGTAAAGTTTTTCGAATTAACTTGACTTTTTCATTGGACCAAATTACAGTGAAATATTTTGTCTCTTCTCCCCATGAGCTACCTCATTTTTACTTCTCCATCGTTTCCTTTTCTTCTTCTATTGCTTAATGGCTGCCTCAACTTCCTGTAATTGGTCCAAAAGTCCGAACCACCAAAAAAAAATGTTATTACACTGCAAACGAACCGACCCATTGTTCAGTTTGATCCGGACCGAGACCACCTCTTTTGGTTGGACCAAATCTTGGTCCTTTGGTCTGGACTGTGGTCCAAGCCACCTTTTACAGTTGCTATTTTGGTTTGAACCAAACTGAAAAGGCTGAAGGTCCTGACCAAACAAGGTAGGTGTGGAAACACCCTAATTTTAAAGTGATTATTCAAAAAGAAATAAAGTTTTTCTTCTTAACCCCAAATGTAGTTGATCAACCAGACATGTTTGCTTCTTTAGTTTTGCACTGGAGCTACAAGGTGAATGTAACTAACAAGTAATAGAGACTTATACCCCACTAATTCATGTTAACTGCATGCATCACACACTCACCTTAAACCGCGTGGAGTTGTTCAGTATGTCTAATAGACTTAGGTCGTTTCTGACACTGTATGACTCACTGTTATCTATAAACATTGACTACAGTACGTTAGTCTAGATAAGAACAGCAGGAGTGGCTGTGTTGAAGCTGAATTTTGCTAAAAGCATACTTTACTGTTTTTTACAAATTTAAACACGGCCTACACGGCACAATCTATTTTTGCCTAATTTTAACCCTGATTTGCCCCTTGCGACAAATGTTTACATAAACTGAAGTGATTTTCCAGGTCGGGAGCTCGATCAGAAGCGACTGACGGATGATCTGGTAGTGTGGGAGGAGCAATGAGTGAATCTTAAGCCCTCCAATCGAACTCTAAAGTGATCAGAGGCCCTCCGATATGATCAAACCTGTCTGACACTTAGGACTGTCGGGACTAAGTGCAATTCCCGCTCGCTCAAAGCCCCAACATATGGATAAAATTATACTAATCTGTTCTATAACTATATTTCAGTTCTTCAATTAATCTAATTGCTGGTTCTCATCATAAACACAAAATAAAATAAAGTTCAGTCAAAAATAAAAGAAAGTTGAATAAAAGACTTCAGCCGTTGAGTTCTTTTTGAAGGAAGGAAAAGGCCCACTCTTCATTTATTGAGCGTCAGATGGCAAGATGGCTCCCGGACAGCCAAATGCAAAGTACATTACAGAAACAAATATTTTTTATACCCTGTTTGGGGGCGATGAAGCAATCGCCCCCTCCCTCTCACCTTTTCTCATTTCACTTTGGTTCCCATTGTTTCCCATCCTTACGCTTCAGTTGGAAACCCTTATTTCCAACCGCACGTGTCCTTGATTTTTTAAAAACTTGCATGCTCAGCTATCCTAAACTGCCCTCTTCTCAAGGTTTTTAATTAAATTTTATCTTTTTAAACTGGTTCCAACACTGATACTGTTTAGTTTCCTATCAGCTTTACCTCCCCTCTCACAGGCCAGCTTGTTCTTGCAACAAAGCACACTAGTTTCTAGAAGCTTCTGAACTTTAGGTACTCTCCATTGCGAAATCCCCTGACCTTCACACAGCATGGCCTTTCCTTAGTGAGAAGATTAATAAACTTTTGTCACTGAACTTTTTAGTATATGATTATGGATTTCTTATTGATTATAATAGTAATATATTCATTATCCCCGACAGACTTTCACAAGTCCTGCAGTGTGAGAAGGTCAGAGACTTACTCCATTAATTATTCAAACAACAGCTAATCAGAGAGCTAGAAGAGTGGAGAGAAAGGTAAAGAGCATGAACACCGCCTGAACAGCAGAGCGCTGAGACAGAGGAGCTGCGTGTAAAACGGGCAGATAGGAGCCGTTTACAGTGTAAGGGTCCAGGCGTCAAAGCACTTTCTTTACAATTTCAGCTCAGCTGCCAGTTTATAGTGAAATATTTCTCCAGCTGTCACTGTAATATCAGCGTTTCACACCACATATTAATCCCCACTGTGCGTTTTCGCTACGCATAACCGCACAGACAGGTCCGGTTGTTTGCATCATGTTATATCCGAGGAGATCTGGGAGTTTGAGTTCTTATTCGTAGCCCAAACTCATTATGTATGTTGTCCTCTCTCTTTGCTCTGTCGTCTACACTCTCAGAAATAAAGGTCGTAAGCTGTCACTGGGTCAGTGCCCCTCTTGTCACTGGGGTGGGACCCTCAAGAGTACATCTCCGTACCTTTAGTCAGGGAACATAACTGAACCATAATCCCCTGAAATTAGATTTTCTAAGCTGTACTGACTCCACACACCCCGTCTCGTCTCCAGGCTTTTATTTTACTGTTCTGTTTTAAAACATTCGGTTATGAAAGGATCCAAATATAAACTTTTCCCCTGGGAAGAAACTTACCTAAGGTTCACAATTGGACCTTAAAACCAATGCTGTACCTCTGCGGGAACATTTATATTGTTTGTACCTTGATGAATGAAAAAACGTACCCGCACAGAACCTTTATTTCTAACTGCAGTCCGAGCGCCCTCACGACAAAAAGACAAGAAACTCTGTGATATTAAGTTTGTGATGCTCTCTGTTTTAGAAATCTGTTAAGATTTTAAAAGTCATGTAGTGTACGCCCAACCGTACATATTTTTAAGCAAGTTTGCTTGTCTTTGAACAAACTCATATTTTTGGAGCAAATGTTGCATAGAAATATTAACTTTCGATTGTGAAAAGAATTTTAATAGGTTTTCTAGGACAACATACATAATAGTCGCTTAAAATGCAACTTGTAAAATTAAGTAGTTAATTTTTTCCCAGCTTTTTCAAGTAAATTCATTTTAGGGTAAAGTGAACAAATATATAGGTTTGATTTTTGGCTTTGACATTACTATTTAACTGTATTCTAAAAGAATAATGCATTTAATAATGTGAACAAAAATTATACTCTCTCTCTCTCTCTCTCTCTCTCTCTTTCTTTTTCTCTCTCTCTCTCTCTCTCTCTCTCTCTCTCTTTCTCTCTCTCTCTCTCTCTCTCTCTCTCTTTTTCTTTCTTTTTCTCTCTCTCTCTCTCTCTCTCTTTTTCTTTCTTTTTCTCTCTCTCTCTCTCTCTCTTTCTCTCTCTCTCTCTCTCTCTCTCTCTCTCTCTCTCTCTCTCTCTCTCTCTATCTCTAACCCCCGTAGAGAACTGAAGGAGAGTCGTGACCGAGCTGAGTCCATCATCGCTGAGCAGCTAGAGCTGCAGGGCCAGTTACAGCAGGCCTCAGAGCAGCTGGGCCGCCTGCAGAGGGAGCTGGTGCAAAAGGAGGCACAGCTGGAGGAGGTTTCTGGACTGAGGAAGGAGAGGGAGGACCTGCGCCTCCTCTCGGCCTGTCAGGAGCAGAGACTCGCTCAGGCTCAGAGGGAGATAGAGCAAGGCAGGATGGAGCTGGCCAGTCTGGAGAGCATCCTGGACATGTTACATCTGAGAGAGGTGTTTGTTTTATTATGTGTCTATAACCTGAGAACTGGCCACTAATTAGCATGGTGCTAACTGCATGCCTGCAGGTGCTCAGTGTCTCTAATAGACTTGATGATGTGGTTTCTGACACTGTGTGACTCACTGTTATCTACATATCTCCATGGACTAAAGGGACTAAAGTACATCGCAGTTTTCCACTTTGCTAAAAACAGTAGTAGTGACCGGCTTGAAGTCCATTTTTGTTCATTTTTTTTTATAAATAACAGTCTTTAGTATAATTGGGACAGGATTTGTTTGAGGCGAGGAAATGTGATGTCATTTTTACCTCAGGACTTCTGGAACATTTATGACAGATTCACAGAAAATCTGCATAAATTATCAATATAGGAGGGTCTACTATATTTACACACTTCACTCAAGAAAGCACAGAAAACGTGTTAAAACATTTTAATTTAGCTGTTGATTGGTTACACTAACCATCAATTTAGAAGTTTCTAAGTCAGTGCTGTGTGTCATTAGCATTGTCAGTAATGCCAGTTTACAGCCATTGCAGAAACAGACGGACTACAGTCTGTAATTGTAGAACTACAAAGTGCACCTATATAATAAGTGGAGCTGATAAAATGGACAATGAGCGTAGAAACAAGGAGGTGGTCATAATGTTATGCCTGATCAGTGTAGAGCCTCCATACTTAAGAAAAACTATGAAAACTCCTGTTCCACAGAATATCACAGCAATTTTACAGACATGGCAATTTGTGATGGACTACTATAACCTGGGATTGTTGGTTCTACAGTTTGCTTTGTGGCACAGGATTAATATAACCTGGGTTTATTTCTAAGCTTCCATTATTTATTAGCTACTCTGCCTACATTAGTTACATCATATAGCCCTGGTTTAAAATAAAAACAAAAAAATGCAAAATGTTTTGTCAGATTCACTGCATTTGAGGTAAAGTAAACCATGTAAGTTTGAGTTTTGCAGAACTTCCAGCTGGTTTGCTAGACTGTGTTTGTGTTTAAAAAGAGGAGCGATGATTATAACTCTGTATGTGGTTGTTTTCCAGGATCGTGAGGGCGCACTGTGTATGAATCCCTGTCTGTTGCCCTCGCTGACTTACACTGCAGCTACAGAGCATCTCAAACACAAACCAGGTGAGCTGATAACCCTGAACATACCTATAATTGGTGACATATAATGTCAGCGTTAAGCATATTTTTACCCCATTGCATTGTTATGTACAATGTTATATTTAGATGAGATATGATACACAATGCTGAATGAATCCAATACTTTGAAGAAAATATGACAACTGATCAGAGAATATCTACATAACCATACCATAAACTGGGTTATAAAACGGATAGTTGCGGTCCTAAAATCTGATTGGCTGAGCTACCTTCAAAGCCATTGTAAAATCCACGATATACCCTTCCTATGACCGCTTCACAACAACTGAACTCTGTATCACTGCGCTGGTGACTCAGGTTCTTAACTCGAACTAGGCTGGTCAGTTAGCTTGCAGGCTAAAAGAGCATCCATCATTAATAACACAGGCTTAAATTAAAGTAATTATGGTATGATTAACTGTAAAATGGCAGCATAAAAGTCTTAAAAGCGAATGAATAAATGACTTTCACACTTCGAATGTTCATGTTTCAGTCTGAAGTCACGTCAAACCCAGGCTGAATCCCAAACGGCTCTGTACTCCCTAAATAGTGTTCTAGCTATGAAAGTTTAGAAATTCTAGCTTCTACAGCCAAACAGTGCATCATTTATCGAGTGTGGATGTATCTGAGTCCCTAATGACTGTTTCTTAGCTGTATTTTGCTCTGTTGGCCTGTAGCATCCAGTATTTAAATCTCTTCGTAGTGCACTATGTAGGGAGCAGGGAGCCGTTTGAGATTCAGTCCCAGCGTTAGAAGAGGGCGCCGCTGGATTGGTGCTAAATAAGACTCGCGGTGGTAATTTGGTGACCAAAAAGTACTTATAAAGCGAAGGTTTTTGCATTAAACAGTGCTGTGTTATTATATGTTTGTTCTTATATGACAAAAACTAAAAAAATTCATGACCATGGTAAACATTGATGGGCGACTGAACGTTCTCCTCATTCAGTCCGTGGTTGCGTGGCAACAATACCGCACTCTGAAGGAACTACATTTCTTGGTTGAATATTTGTTTATGTCGAATTTTTAACTTATGTCGAATAATAACTTAAATTATTTTCTGAAAAGGTGTTTATATAGACATCAAATGTATAGATATCATTGTTTAAATGCCCCCACTCCTGTGTATGTGAGGTTGTATATGTGCACATATGTTAGTATGTAAATATGTTCATATATAATATACCTTAAATATATTTTTCTCTTCTCCTGTAATTATGTGCTGTCTTATTCTTGTGATTGTGTTGTTTTCAAAGCAAAAAAGTCAGATAAATAAAGAATGTAAACCAACAAATATGCAGAAATTTTAAATAGACTGATGGAATGCCTCTTTAATGGATTATATGACCGTTTCTAATCGTGCTAGGTGAGCGATATCAGAAGCTGCTGGCGGTGCTGCAGACTGTGGAGAAGGAGAAGACCAGACAGACCAGCGCTGCTCAGAACCTGCAGGAGAGACTGACCAAAGCTCAGGAGGAGATCTCGTCTTTACAGAACTCCATCACCCAGAGAGCCTCTCACTACCAACAGCTTCACAACCAGCTGCTGGACAAAGCTGCCCTGGCCACCACGCTGGAGAAAGAGGTGAGGGTCAGGCTTCTGTGTCTCTAAATACTGAAGGCCTCTAAACATTGAGAGGCGTTTAGTGATTTGCAGAATTAGATGCAACCTGCACGTTCTAAGTGTTTTATTTATGTTTTAGTGCTATAAAGTGTTTATTTTTTATTATTATTAATAAAATTAATAATTATTCTTTGTGTCCTCTGTGAACGATGCCTTTGTTTTCATTTTCTTTGTTGTTCTTGCGCTAGTCAGCTATATACTCTCAGGGAAATGACCACATTTGGAGAAAACAATAACAATAAGTAACAATAAATAAAGAAATAACGATAATTGTTTACATCAGAAACCAATTTTACACCATCACAAGACAGCATGTAGTTTTTATAGTTACCTTATAGTTATATATTTATACTATAACTATATAGTTATATATGTCTTATAATATCTAGCTTGTTATTTCCACATTTAGAATTGCTTGTAGACCAAACAAATGATATTAATTAGTTGTTTCCCTCTTTGTACATTCCTGATATTAAATCCAATCTAAATTCTGATAAATAAAACATCTGTCTATTCTGGTGCTTTTTACATGCATCCATTGTTATATTTAGATAGAGAGAGTTATTTTTTCCATCAAATAAATCTCTTTAGTTTCTTCTATCCAGTCAGAGTGAACATAACCCAAATGGAGTACTTTACTATTCATAGATATTTCCCTTCTAAATGTGTCTATAATGGTGTTTCATTACTGTTGTTCAATTTAAAAGTCAATTTGGGCAAAAATAAAAGCATCAGGTTTTATTTCTGAGCAGTGTTTCCTTGTTCAGTGAGCTTTTAGAAGTAACAGTCATGATCAGTACGTCCATGGATTTAATTTGTTTCATTCTCTCTGTTATTGTATAGGCTTAACTTAAAGGGGAATTCCACCAAATTTTCAAAATTTCTTAATAATTCAGTGCTTGAGACATAAATAGTCATTCAGGGTGGTTTGACATGAAATAGTTCACTGTAGAGAAACTTACAGTCTCTGATTTCTTTACCGTGGTGGTGATGGGAACCAGGGGCCACAGTGTCTACAACACAAATATAGCCATTTTATTTACTATCCAAAACCATCAGTGAACCTACAAGTCTCTTCTGAGTTTTATATGTAATATTAATAATGGTAAAATGGTGATAAATCTTTGGGTACTATTTTGCCTCACAATGCAGTTCCCCTTTAAGTATGTTTGAATTATTGATGCTAAATTAACGCCTTTAAACTGCAGCCTTGTTATTCAGTGATTCGTATGAAGATTTATTACCCAGTCATTAGTATGCATTTTTCAGTTAATGCTATGAAACAAATGTGGAATTATATTTTATATGTATAGTGAAGGGACCACTCTTCATTTATTTCCAGTCTATTTCCAGTAAGTTCCAGTCAGAACGGCCATCAGCTACTTAAGCGTCTGGGGGGGAAATAGCAGAAAAAATATATTTAACGGAAAATTACACAGAAGCCACAACAACTAAATGCAGTATTTTTTTGTATTTACTGTGTCCACATTTACCTTTTACTGCAGCTTCCATTCTTTTCAGGAGACTCACTTTCAGGTTTTCAAAGAAATCTACAGGGATATTTATCCAAACAAAGCTCAGTCTTAGAGGTTGGTAGTGGAGTTAGCTGTTATGTTAACTGCTTGGCTTCACTCACATGATTCAAGTAATGCCAAACAAAATCTCAAACACATTCTGTGATGTTGATGTCTGGACTCTGGGGTGGTCAGTCTACTGTTCTGAGAGAACATCAGCAGATTGTGATGCTTTTAATCAAAAACAAGTCACCATTTCAACCTTTCGCCCTCCAACTAGGTCTAGAATTCCCCTTTAATGTGAATAGTCTTAACCCCTGCCCTCTGTTGGATGATGTGTGTCTTGGCAGCTGAAGAAGAAGAACTCGCGTTTGTCTTTACTGGAAAAACAGCTGCAGGAGAAAACATCTGCTTACTCACAGGTTGCCATCAAAATCAGCCAACTTGAGCAGGAGCTGCTGGTAATCCAAATACGCATCCTTCTTCATACACTGCCATTCAAAAGCAATCACAGTTTTAAAGTTTTGAAATTAATGTGTTTAGTTATATAATTGAATAACTTGGTTGCTTGTAAACATATAAAATGATTGCAGTATGCAGTGATGTCCGTTTTACATGTTTCAGGTAGTTTCCAAACTTTTGAACAGTTGTATTTATGCATAAACCAACAAGTCAAGTGTTCATGTTTTTGTTTTATTTTTATATTTCTTTTTTTATTAAAGGAAAGGGACGGCAGTATTCATCACTATCAGTCTGTATTAACCAAGAAACAGAGGGAGTACCAGCAGGCCCTGGAGAAGTCCAAGCTAGCAGAGGAGAACAAAAGCAAGGACCTGGAGGACAGGATAGACGTGGTGAGTGTTAAAGGGCCTGTGCCATGGAAGAACATTTTCATCCAGAAGAGCATTTGTGAGGTCAGACACTGATGTTGGACGAGAGGGCCTGGCTCTCAATCTCCATTCTAGTTCATCCCAAAGGTGTTTGATGGGGTTGAAGTCAGGGCTCTGTGAGGGCCAGTCAAGTTCTCCCACACCAAACTCACCCAGCCAGGCCTTAATGGAGCTGCTTTGTGCACTGGGGCTCAGTCATGCTGGAACAGGAAAGGTTCTTCCCCAAACTGTTCACACAAAGTTGGAAATGTACAGTTGTCCAAAATGTCTTGGTGCTGAAGCATTAAGATTTCCCTTCACTGGAACTAAGGGTTCTAGACCAACCCCTGAAAAACAGCCCCATATCATCATCCCTCCTCCACCAAACTTTACAGCTGGCACAGTGCAGTCAGGCAGGTAACGTTCTCCTGGCATTCACCAAACCCATCCAGTGCTCCAGAGTCCAATGGCAGCATGCTTTACACTGCTTCCCCATAACTGAATGCATTATGTATTTTGATCTTAGGCTTGTGTGCAGCTGCTCGGCCATGAAAACCCATTTTGTGAAGCTCTTAATGTGCAGTTGGGAACTCTGCGGTCTGCTGCTTCGTGGCTGAGCTGTTGTTGCTGTTGACACTTCCATTTCACAATAATAGCACTTACAGTTGTCAGGGGCAGCTCTAGCAGGACAGAAATCTCACAGACTGTTTTGAGGCAGAGGTGGCATCCTGTGACAGTGCCATGTTTAAAGTCTGAGCTCATCAGTACGACCCTCTACTGCCAGTGTTTGTCTATCCAGACTGCAAGGCGATGTGCTTAATTTATCCACCTGTTAGCAATGAGTGTGGCTGAAATACCTGAACTCAGTAATTAGGAGGGATGTCCCAATACTTTTGTCTATCTTGTGTGTGTGTGTGTGTGTGTGTGTGTGTGTGTGTGTGTATGTGTGTGTGTGTGTATATGTATTCACGTGATTTTGGAGCATTTCTATTGTTCCTATGATGCTAAAAATTGAACATTATTATAAATGTCAGCTGGCATTTTAAATCCTCTCTGTGTGCGTGTTTGTGTGTTGTATGTAGCTACAGTTGTCTCTGGCTCAAAGTCAGGCTGAAGTGGAGGATTTGAAGGAGACTTTGTCTGTGCTCCAGTTAGAGAAGAAAGAGGCACAGCACCAGAACTGCCTACTGCAACAGTCTGTGGCCCAGCTCACACAGGTCAGCGTCTCCAGCCATATCCTGGAACTGTCAGCATTCGTTTAACAGCAAATGTGCGGTTTGCATTAGATTTTGTCTTTTTCCTAATGCAGGATACTGAGATGAAGGCCAAACGTGGTGAAGAGGCAGTCCGTAGCTTTAAAGAGCAGGCTGCAGAATCTGCTTCTAAGGTGAGTGCATTCGTTATCATTCTGTGACCTCTGGGTTTCTGGTCAACTTTACAAGGCTGTAACTGTTGATTATGTTAGTGGTAGAGTAATCCACTGATTATTATTAAACTCAGCAATTAATTGAGATCAAGAACTTTCTAAATAGGTCAAGCAAAAAAAATGGTTCTGATGTTTTGTCATTGTAAAAAATGTACATTTTTATACAATTCTACACCATTTGAACATTACAGCTTTCTTCTATATTGACCATTCAGTACATTCACCATTCATTCTTCTAAAATGAATGGTGAATGTACAGAAACTCACGTGAGAAGTATTTGCAGTGTAGGTGCTATTGTAATGTAACTCTCAGTGGTATGTTTTGTGTTTGTGCAGATTAAGTTTCTGGAGACAGAGCTGTCCTGCTGTAAGGAAGAACTGAGTGGTTGTCTGCAGCAGATGGAGAAGGCCAAGCAGGAACATGAGACACAGCTGGAGCTCAAAAACTCTGAGGTCAGCCTTTGCATAGTTCTAGGGGTTCTTAACACACCCCCCCCCCATGCCAGCCTGTAGGTAGACCGTTCAGCAGAGCTTGTATGCACACTTTAATATTATTTTCTTAGTGGTTGATTGTATATCAAATGTGGTGTATGTATTGTAGCACCACTGTCGTGACCCCACATGGAACCACGTTGCGTCCCCCAGTTTAGGTACCCCTGCATTAAACAGATCAGTCAAATAGGTGACACATCTTGTCCAATAATATATAACATATTGTGTAATAATACAACAACATACACCATCCTTGCATTTCAGAAACGGTAACTTTATAGGAGAAGAACTGTTGGTTTATTTACCATCAGAAGATGTAAAAGGCAGCTGAGATCATCAGATGGTGTGACCTGAAAATTGAGCGATTACATTTTCTTATGACAGCAGCAATATGTAAAGTCCCAGCAGAATGCCCGTTAGAGCTGTATTGGCTCTATGGCTGTAAGGGTGAATGTTCTGTTCTGTGCGTGTGTTAGCTGTCAGCCCTGCAGGAGGCGGTGAAGAGCAGAGCTTTGGCCTGTAAGAGCTCCACTGAGGAGAACCTGCAGCTGCAGCGCTCCATCCAGCGGCAGCACAACATGCTGCAGGAGAGCACCACCCGCATAGCACAGCTAGAGGAGAGCCAGAGTCATCTACAGAGCCAGGTATGCTCACATACATTCAGACAGACATAAAGGTTGTCAGATTAGCGCGCTGTTGTTAAAATCAAAGAGGGAGCGTATTGCTTCACAGTGTTTTTGATAATTTATTAATTTAAAGAACTAGTGTTACTAAGTCAAGAGGAAAAAAAAATAAGGTTAAATTATGGTTATGGTGCAGTGCTGCAAGTCACCCTGTAAAGCCTGAAATACGTTTTACAATATTGTCACATGCACAGTTTAAGTAAGAATACATTTTTAAGAATAAAAGTCTCAAATGCAAAATCAACATTATACTGATGAAAATATGATGAAATATAGTGAGTAATTAATAAACTGGTAACTTGGTCTATTGTGCATCCCTATTGAAATCCCCATTATGTCTTATTATATCTTGGTCTATAGAGCATCCCTATTGAAATCCCCATTATGTATTATTATATCTTGGTCTATAGAGCATCCCTGTTGAAATCCCCATTATGTCTTATTATATCTTGGTCTATAGAGCATCCCTGTTGAAATCCCCATTATGTCTTATTATATCTTGGTCTATAGTGCATCCCTATTGAAATCCCCATTATGTCTTATTATATCTTGGTCTATAGAGCATCCCTATTGAAATCCCCATTATGTCTTATTATATCTTGGTCTATAGAGCATCCCTATTGAAATCCCCATTATGTATTATTATATCTTGGTCTATAGAGCATCCCTATTGAAATCCCCATTATGTATTATTATATCTTGGTCTATAGAGCATCCCTGTTGAAATCCCTATTATGTTTTATTATATCTTGGTCTATTGTGCATCTCTATTATAACCCCTAGTGTATCTTTGGCTAGATTTCAACATGATTGTATTTCTTCTGATCAGTATAACTTTTAAGTGGCATTAGGCCTCCTGGATGACAATTTTAAGATTTAAAAACTCTGACATGTCATTGAAACAAATGACCCATGTACTTATTTTACTCAGAGCAGACCAAAAATAGAAGATTATCACGCAGTAGTTTTTCTACAGTGAGCATTTTCTTTAATAAACAAGACTGCACTGTCATTTCAGAGTGAGACTGTGACACTGTAAAAAATCAAAGTCTGCTCAACTTAAAATGATACAGTAACTGATTACATGGCTTTTCTTGAGTTGACTCAACTTGAGGACACCAGTGTTCAAACTTCTTAGTTGAGTCAAAAATTTTGTCAGCTACTGTTTCTAATATCATTTAGATAAACAAAACTGAATTTTTGTTTTTTTTTTACTCAGTTTCCCCACTAGCTGGCGCTCCTTCTATCACACAGTCACTCCTGTCATATTTTCCTCTTGGGCTTCCAGATATGGACAGCTATGGTATTCAAACGCACAATCTCCTGATGTTGGGATGAATTATTAGACACTTGCACCACATGAGACGATGCCATGCTTTAAAGTTAAAACAACTAATATTTTCTCCAGTGTGTTAAACAGTAGCGAACCGTGACTCTTAAACCTTTGCCGTCCGGGCTCCCGAGTGGCACAACCGCCTAAGCGTTGGCCCTGTCATCAGGAGATCGCGAGTTCGATCCCTGGTGATGCTACAGCCATCTGTAGCCGCGAGTCCAAGAGAGCACAATTGGCCTCGCTCTCTCTGGGTGGGTAGGATGGCCCCTCCTTCTCCCCCCATCACTTAACGTGATGCTAGTCAGCGCAGGCGTCTGTTAGCTGACGTAACAGATCTGGCGGTTGGCGCTTTCCTCCGAGCGCGTTCGGCTGTCCAATGACGTTGTGTGAGCGGCAGTTCGAAAAGAAGCGGTGGTTGGCTTCACAGGTCTCGGAGGAAGCCTGTGTTAGCCTTCACCCTCCTAGCGTTGATAGTATCGTGTCTGAGATCCCCTCTCCACAACAGCAAGCAATCCCAGCAGCAGAGCGTTTGCTCCTTTGTCGATCCTATCATCCAGGGGTATCGTGATGTAATTGCTTGAGTTGAAATGCCTCTCAAAAGCATTTTTTGCACCAAATTAAGCTCTGGTGTAATCGTCCTTTCCTGAATAACTCTAACTTTTCATTTAAAGTTAATCTAGAAAATGGTATGGATAATAAATTCACAGCGATGTCCTCCTCACTAGCGGTAACGCTACTCTTGGCTTCCGTCACGAATCAACAAGCTAGCTAGCTTTTTTCTCTAGATTCATGTCCCCAGAGCCTGTGTGTCCCCACAGCGGGCGGAACTTGTCATAAAGTTAGCGATAACGAAGCCCACCCCTGTAGAGGGAAGATATTGGTCAATTTTACTGTCATTTGAAATTGGTCTCTCATTAAATTACTATTGCTTGTCCATCTGTAAATTTCTCTCAGGACCACCAATCACTAACATTCTTTCCAGCAACAGCAGATATGGCAAAATTCTAATAGGGGGAGACAAAGGGGCTTCTTTAATTTAACCCTTCACATTCTAATACAAATCGAATAGGCAGGTTTGAAGGATTTTACCCGATTTTCTCCCCAATTTGGTATTAAACATCTGTAAGCACAAAATCTGAGTTGCTTCATGTGTTCCTGAGTGGCGCGGTGGCCTAAGCCACAGCCCCAACAGGAGGTTGTGAGTTTGAGCCCCAGTGATGCCACAGCCATCCGTAAGTGCGTACTCGAGGAAAAATGTCGAGCAGGATTGTGTGATGGAAAGAGTCCTGGCTAGTGGGAAAATTGAGTAACACAAGCTCAGTTTTTTTTACATAACAGATGAAGAACATTAAGAGAACTTTTGACTCAACTAGGAAGTTTGAGTTGGATGAACTCTTGTGTCCTCAAGTTGAGTCAACTCAAGCCATGTAATCAGTTACTGTATCATTTTGAGTTGAGATGACGTCTCATTTTTAACAGTTTAGTAAAGTAAGATTATTTGTTTGTTTGTTTGTTTGTTTGTTTGTTCGTAGGACTCATTGCAGAGCTCATGGGGGTTACGTTAGGTCATGAGGGTTAGTCAACAGTGTAGTTGACCTTACCTTATGTTTATAGCTCACATGCTTTTCCCACTTCTTTACCACTGCTGCGTGCTCCCCTGGTGAAGCCTGGCTCGCAGCTAAACGCCTCAATAATAGAGTCTATTATGTGAGTTGGTATAGAAGACGGGGGTACTCAAGGGCAGCTCTGCACCAACACAAAGCCGACTTTTCCAGTGGAACATTTTTGGAAACAGCATTAATAGCTGCATCCAGAGTGTTTCAAGGAGTCCATTCATTGTTTTAGGCTTCCATACTCTCAAAAACATCGATCTTGTGAATTTTATTCAGTTTGGACCAGCAGATTGTAGATGCAGCACAAAAGCATAACATGCAAAGACTTTTCTGAAAAAAAGTTAAACTGTATGTAGGTTAATGTTTCTAAAGTGGGTCAGACATTGATACACTAATATAGGGATGTCATTGTTGCAAACTTTCAGTGCTTTTTCCTCTACAAAGTGTCTTAACACTTTTTTCATGAATTCCTTCTAGTTTTCATTTTTCACTCAAGCATCTTTGAAAACCACTGGATTGTTTATTACTGTTCAGTTTTTCAGACGTTTGGTGTTTTCAACAGTATATACACTGTCTGGTTGCAGAAAAATGTATACAATTTTTCTGATATGCTCATCCTGTACACTTTCACAGGTTCAGATAATCAGTAGGACACTAGAACAGCCTTTCTCAACCTTGGGGTGCCGTCTGGCTTCGTCATGGGTGCCGTCAAGAAAAAACTTCTGACGTTGCTGACATAATAAAATGAACTAAAATTCCAAGAAACGATAGTTACACAACTTATGAAAATGCAGATCATTAGCTGCCTTATGCATCATCACAATTTGTCTCATGTGCCCCTTTCCCTGTGTCACAACGTCACTACCAAGGTCAGTGTATGACTACATGAAGGCTGACGTAAATAGCCTACTAGAATCCAGAACCACATAGCTCTGAATCTGAGCCGTCAGCTTCATCATCCACGGGTAGCTCAGCAGGGAGGGTAGTAGAGGCCAGCAGCAGGACAACAGCTACTTGTCCTTGCGTTTCATTTTTACTGGGAATCCATCATGCCCTCTCCCTATACGCCTGGTATGTGGTATGAAATTGCCAAACCAAGAAATGTTTCCGAGAAACTAGAGACACCTGACATTGAATCATCCATCACTATCCAGCAAGGATGCAGAATATTTGAATAGTCTGAAAAGTCAACACAACCAACAAGAACCAACAAGTGGTGATGAACAGTTTCAGTAGTTTTAAGTAGCGCCATTGCAGTTCTGCACTTTTCGAGCCTAACTTGCATTGAGAACAAGTGCAGGGAGCAACCAAGGGCTGTGGACCAGGAGTGTCTCCCTCTCTTTAATCCCTTCCAGAAATAGGGCAGTTGTGTGTATCGTCCCAGACTCAGGTTTCCCATTAATAGTAAGTCACACTTACCACCCCGCAATAACCTCATACGGTGGGTGGGTGTGTGTGTGTGTGTGTGTGTTGGCCGTCAAAGGGATGCAGAATGTACGTTTTTTAATACATCTTAGACTGGGGTGACTCAAGATTTTGCATACTTTTAAAGGGCACCGTGACGGAAAAAGGTTAAGAAATGTTAAAAATGTCCAAAATGACGAACAGACCTGTAGATCTAAAATGACTGAGAAAGCTGTAGGATATCAAGAATTAAGTTATAATGAAATTAATATCCAGAATTGAATCATATGTCAAAAGGAGACCAAGTTTTAAGGCAGAGATCTTGGAAAAATCCAGAGTAAATAAATAATTGCATTGTATTATTTCTCATTTTATTCACTTCCTGTAATGTAAAAACGTAAAAATACTTTTTGCCGATTAGTTCGTAATAGTTAAATCCATCTTTTAGGTCTTGTTATTGTGTATAAAACTAGAAGGAGAAGGTTCTGTTGGGTTGGCAAAACCATTTCTGTGAAATCCAAGGTGGTGGCTAAGATGTTGCTAGGCCATTTACATGGAATTCTGGGTAGCTGCCACGGTGTTGCTCAGCTGTTGCTACAGTATCCCAGGTGGTTGCTAGGCATTACTAGGCTGTTTGTCAAGCCAACTTCATATGGGAAGTGATTCCAAACTTTTGAATAGTAGTGTAAGTCCTTTTTTAATTTCTTTTTTATTGTTTGAGCTTTTTAGAAACACCTCACTCAATTAATCATCAGAATAATCGGTCGATTACTCAGTTACTAACATCATTGCCAGTGACAGCCCTGCTCTGTACATGGTATTGTTTTCACTCTGTTTGGACATCTTGTGCTTTAATAAACATCAGACAAACATATTTATATAACAATATAATGAGCCAGCTGGCTGAAAGAAGTCTCTCAGACCTGCAGACAGATTTTGAGATTACGTGGCCTGTTTGCTCCCATAGGTGTCCCATCTGGAGCAGGAGCTGGAAAGGGAGCGTTCTGCCCTGACCGAGGAGCTGAGAAGGAGAGAGGAGGAGGTGGAGGAGGCCAGGCTTGAGGTGCAGAAGAAAGAGAAGCAGGCAGCCGAACTCTCAGCATCTATAACGTGAGACTCCATGACAGCTTTTCTCCTCAAGTGATGCCTCTCTCTTAAGGGTGCACTGTTTTTTTAACTGGAGTCGAAACCCAGTCCATGGTTTAGGACATGGTGCTTGCTGCTAAATTGTAGTTATTAGCTGTGGGTGTAATTATTCCAAAAATTCATAATTTGATTTGATCCGATGTGGTAGTGTCTTGATTCAGTACCTTTTTAATAATAGGTACATTTTCTATGTTAATGCTTTTTCCTAGTTTGACCCTGTGTGTTGCTATGACTGATTCCAAGTGACTCTGCAACTGTAAATCTGTCACAGTAGCCATGTCAGAGCGTTACAATACATTATGTTGATACAGTACAGTGAATTGTTAAACCCCTAATAGTAGCCAGTAGCCTGTATTGTTATTGTAGTGTAACTTTTATCATTAAGATTAAGGTTGATACTTCTAATTTGGCACAATGAGGGCATTTACATGCATTCAATAATCTAATCATAATCGGATTTCTACAGTTATCTGATTATTCAAATTGTCATGTAAACAACACACTCTGATTTCTTATATCGGCGTAAGGATAAAGAGAGCTGGGTTTTAGCTCAGTAATCAGATTTCTCAGGGCATGTAAACTCTTACTCTGATTTCTTTCGCATTTCTCAGTCTGAACATGCTTGAACAAATGAAGGACTTAAACTTTCTTCATCTTCTAGATGATGTATGTTCATATTTTCAGGTAAAGTGGCGCAATGTAAATTACGTTTACGAGTTTTACATTATGTCACGTCTTCTTCTGTGAGTTTATTGGCTGGTTGCAAAGCAGAAATCCGATCACTGTCTGACTCGTGTAAACCTGGAGTTTCCTCATTATCTGATTACTCAAGTGCATGTAAACGTGTTGATCGGATTACTGACAAAATCTGATTTTCTGCAGTTATCGGATTATTAAATGTATGTAAACACACTCACTGAAGACTTAAAGAACGATTTAAATGCTTTTTTCATGGCTAGGTTCTTATCGATGACTGGAAAACCAGCACTCACTGTTTCATTCCTTTCCTCACTGAAAGAGAACACTCAATATTGTGACCGTCCTATATTTAATATGTATTTAATACAATAATACTTCTCTCTTTATTTACGATCATACAACCAATCAGACAACCAATCACTAGGTGTGATCGAAATGGATCCCTGCTCTCTTATAAGTGTTGCGCTATAAAGGGGTAAACTGTGTCGTTTACTAAATAGCTGTAAAAACACATTAATCTAAAAATTAATTCTCAGACGATCATCAGCCTGCGATCGTATTTATCAGTCACACAAACAGACAAAGGCAGAAGTTGGCATCTTATTCACAGTCGTAAGACATCCGAAAAACATAGAGTAGCGCAAAGGTCTCGGACTGGGGAGGAACTGCAAAACGTGACTCAGCTACACATTTAATTCTTGGTCTATTATTTCAGTACCCTGTAGTTTTTGTTGTGTGATGAGCAGCAGGCAGTAAATGCATTAGGGTCTTTGTTTTTAACCGTACAGAGCTGCTGTTCTGACAGCGTTTCACCAGAGAGTTGAGAGAGTCAGAAAGGTTTTAGTTTTCTGTGTCTCAGTGCCACCGTTAAAGTTAGCTAACGTTCCTCTATCCATTGCGTAGTTGCATGAAACTCACAATCCACTTTGGTACCTTGGCTTTCCTCTGAAGCACAATGTAATCTCTGACCACCAGAAAGAAAATGTGCTGGTGTGGATTCTGAAGCAGAAGAATGGTCAGTAAGCAGTTTATTATGATATAGCTTATTTTTTTAGCTTTTGCTCATTACTTACTGTAACTCAAAATTATGGGCTGGGTGGTAATTTAGCTCTTGGTGAACAGAACCTCAGTTTGTCAAATGTTGTATTGTTACAGGTCTTCACATTTACCAGCAATATTTTAGATGATTAATCGAGTATTAGTCGATTAATTCACACAAACAATCGAATATCAAAGAATCCTTTTTTGCAGCCCTATTATAATCCAACAAAAGTAAATGATTTCTTTCAAAACAATGCAGGCTAATATTTAACCGTCACATGACTGATTTTCCAGTGTCTTTTGATTATGTTAAAAAGCACATGTAGCATTTTATAATAGCAGTACTAGGATTTTGTCCACATCTTGCTGCCCTACTCGATTCTGTGCAAAACTCCTGTATGCTCTTAGTCTTGTGATTCTATGGCCGTGCTGTTGTGAATCGGCTTGAATCCTTGAATTTTACTTGACCAGTGCAAGGTCAAAACAGGCTTAGCCACAAAACTCCTCTGTGCAAGTTAAATGGGGTTTGTGGTTAAGGCTGTTCCAAACGTAGGTATTTAGATTACAGGCCACCGTACACCCACTGGCGTTGTTTTATCCTGAGGGTGTCCCAGTGTGTCTTATGACTGTGTGAGGCTTTTCATTGTATCCACAGCCACTCCTTCGGCCGTGTGGCGCTATAAATAAACAGCCATTCTGATCCCTTCCCTGGTTTTCTCTGTGGCTGACGTTTAAAGGCCACAGATATTGGAACATCTCTGGAAGATAAAGCAAAGGAAAAACTTGATTTCTGGACTTCTTCTTGCTTCTCCAGCACTTGAGCTCAAAAGAAATCTCTAGAACAGTGTTGTTTAGGTGGTAGTCTCCTGTAAACCTCTAAAAATTCTGATGGAGATGTATTGGGCGTCTTAAGCTTACTTCTGTTTGTGTTTTTCAGGCAGCTGAGCTCTGAGATGAACACCTGTCGAGGGGAGCTGTCCGAGATGGAGCAGGAGCTGCTGCATTTGAGAAGGGACAGCAGTGCTAAAGCCTCACAGCTCGTACAGATGGAGGAAACGCTGCAGGAGACCAAAGGCCTGCTGGACAAGAAGAGTGAACTGGGTATGCTGCATGAAGTTCAGCAATACAGACCTTCTGAAAACACAGCAAGCGTAATATAAAATGGGTTCTTTAGTGATAATTATTGTGGCTTTATTTATTAACCTTTAGATGTCTAGAGCAGTGGTTTTCAAACCATGGAACTGGGACAGAGCAAAAATGCGGACTGTCTGGGAGTCCCGGAGGTCCAGTTTTAGAACCACAGGTCTAGAAGAATACAATTGCTATACTCCTTTTGTGAAAGCCTTTTTTACTAATTTACTAATTTGTTTATTTTTTTATTTAAGGTACAGTTGACACTAGTATAAGCAAACAATAGATATTAATGCAATATGTAATACAGACAGTAGATAATACAGTGTGGTGAGGGTGTAGATAAAACAGTGGCATGCAAGATGATGATGATGATGATGATTATTATTATTATTATTAATGTTGTTATTATTATTATTATTATTATTATTATTAATAATAATAATAATTATTATTATTATTATTATTATTATTATTATTATTATCCATGATGTGCTCTGAGAAGTATATTGTGACAAAATTTATAATAATGTTAAATAAATATTAATAGTAATAATAATAATAATAATAATAATAATACACTTGCATTTAAATGTAATTACATAAATAATGACATACTTAATTACATTTACAATTAATTCACATTAAATAAGTGTAACTACACAACAATAACATTTCATATATATCATATTCAGTTAATAGTGGCTATTTACAAACCCAAATGTGCTCTGGATTGAAAGCCTTGTTTCAGTGAGCTACACGTGGAAAATAATTATACACCCCATTTCCAAATAAGTTGGGACGCTGTGTAGAATGTAAATAAAAATAGAATGCAATAATATGCAAATCATGTAAAAACATTTTTTCAAAAGAAAATACTACAAAGACAACATATCAGATTTTGAAACTGAGAAGTTGTATTGTTTTTGGAAAAATATATGCCCATTTTGAATTTGATGCCAACAACACATTCCAAAAAGTTGGGACGGGGGCCTGTTTACCACTGTGTTTCATCATTTCTTCTTTTATCAACACTCTGTAAGCATTTGGGAACTGAGGAGACACTGCTGTAGTTTTGAAAGTGAAATGTTTTCCTGTTCTTGTTTGATACAGGATTTCAGCTGCTCAACAATTCAGGGGCTCATTTGTTGTAATTTTCATTTCAAAACCCTCCATATGTTATCAGTGGTGACAGGTCTGGACTGCAGGCAGGCCAGTTTAGCACCTGGTCTCTTAATAATGAGCAATGCTGTTGTAATACATGCAGAATGTGGTTTGTCTTGTTGAAATAATCAAGGATGTCATCTGGATGGCAGCATATGTTGCCAAAATATATATATATAGTTCAGCATTAATGGTGCCTTCACAGATGTGCATGTCACCCATGCCATGTGCACTAATGCCCCCCCTATAGCATCATGAATACTGGCTTTTGAACTGTGCACTGATAACAAGCTGAGTAGTCTTTATCCCGGGGGACACAGCGTCCATGATTTCCAAAAAGAATTTCAAATGTTGATTTGTCGGACCACAGGACACTTTTCCGCTTCGCCTCAGTCCATTTTAAATGAGCCCGGGCCCAGAGAAGGTGGCAGCATTTCTGGATCCTGTTTATGTACAGTTTCTTCTTTGCATTTTTGAGTTTTAACTTGCATTTGTGGATGCAGTGATGAACTGTTTTCATAGACAGTGCTTTTCAGAAGTGTTCCTGAGCCCGTGCAGTGATTTCCACTACAGAATTTATTGTTGTTTTCAGTAGCAAAATTCACTTTCTGTAGTGTGTTAATTGGTATAATGGACTTTGTCCTTCTGCTCTGTGTTTTGTTTCAGTGATTGATCTGGAAGAGAAGCTCCATCGCAGTGAGATGGACAGGCGGAACTCTCTGCAGCGAGCTCAGTTGCTGGAGGGACAGCTGCAGGTGGTGCGCGGGGAGCTATCCGACACACTGGACCACCTACAGGAACTCCGAGATGTCCTTCAGAGGACCCAGCTGACCGCAGACCAACGACAGACCACCATTGACCAGCTGGCTGCTGAGCTCAGGTGAGGCTCCGCCCCTCAGCCTCTCTGCTATTGGTACAGGAGTGTGAGGGAGGGGCTTGTGAGCCACTACGGCGTTGGCCAAAGGATGTTTGGGTCTTCAAACTGTTTCTCAGTTTCCTTTCAATTAGGCGATGAAGGCTGTCGAAGTCTGTCTCTTCATGTCAGATGAGTCCGTTTCTGTCATTTTCCATCACCAGACCCACTTCAGTCTGACTCACTTATTTCCAGTTATAATATAATTGCAGTATAATCGCAATATGGAATTTGTCTGTCATGCAGCCTAATTTTGTATCACTGTGAATCTTGTGTTTGCTTACAGACTTAAAAGAGTACTGTGAACTCACTGACATATTAATGCTGGATTTGCCTCACTTCAGTTAACAAACCTCTTTTTGGATATTACTCTGAAGGTTTTAATTTTTACCCTGATTTTCTCCCCAATTTAGTCGTAGCTAGTTAGGACTCCCCCAATCACACGATGCTAACACAGGCTTCCTCCGAGACCTGTGAAGCCAGCCACCGCTTTCTTTTCAAGCTGCCGCTCACGCAACGTCACTGGACAGCCGAACGCGCTCGGAGGAAAGCGCCAACTGCCAGATCTGTTACATCAGCTAACAGACGCCTGCGCTGACTAGCATCGCGCTGAGTGAGTGATGGGGGAGAAGGGCAGCCATCCCACCCACCCAGAGAGAGCGAGGCCAATTGTGCTCTCTTGGACTCCCGGCTACGGATGGCTGTAGCATCACCAGGGATCGAACTTGCAATCTCCTGATGATGGGGCCAACGCTTAGATGGTTGTGCCACTCGAGAGCCTATTACTCTGAAATTTTACTCTGTAAAACATATCACACCAAACACATCCACCATCCACAATCCATGCAGTGCTGCTTTAATGTTTTTCTAGTATGAGATAGATGAATTATGTAAATGATGTGGCTCTGTTACGATGTAAAAAGAAGGAAAAAGCTGTAAATTAAGTAACAGGTTTGTATAGTGTAAACTGTAAATTTGAGAGAGTACACTGACTAGTTGAAATATGAAATGCCTGACATACGCAACACATTATTTCAGTAAGATTTGTGGTGTAATATATAACTTTTTCCTCTGTTTCTCTGTAGCTTTCTCTTTGGCTCTTGTATGCTCATACTGCTCTGTAGAAAAGCTGAGAGTTAGAAGCATCTGTGACCTTGACTTACTCATGAAACCTTTTTAACTGAAATTAACTGCTCGTCCCTGCACTTCTTTGATATGGATGTCTGTTCAAGCATCTTCCCTGTTGCTAATAAATATTCACAAGAACACAAGCATTGCCCACTATATTCAGGCCTTAGAGGGTTTGTAACAACACGACCGGCCACCAGTCATATCAAAGCATGTGAACAGATGCCGCATAATGACACGAATATAAACCATTGCTTATAACAAGGGTTATAAACTGTTTATGTTCCATTTTACAGTCACAATGAAACCAGCCAATCATTTTTCATTCAAATCCCAACCAGTTCCCTTTGCCTCATTCTCAATATAACGTTATTTTATAACATGCTCTTTTTGCACAGTGCTGCCACCTTTTGGCGCAAACGTGGACTACTACTGCATATTGATGTAGTTCAAAGTAACATCAGTGATATCTCAGTAACGTATAGTGACGTCACCACCTTGAGCCAATTTCACTTAACAACAATCGTAAAATGAGCTAAAGAGATATTTAATATCTAACTTGAGACATTTAAACCAGTCCACAGAGACATGGGTTCATAATTCAAGAGGAATTCCATTGATTTTTAATTTTTTTTTCTGTATAATTAATAAATTAAGATGTAAATAATGTCATTCAGAGTGGTATAGTGCGAAATGCTCCATTTTAGAGAAACCTATCGAATCAGAATTGTTCACGGAGGTGGTGATAGGAACCAGACGGCCGCCTCTAAAAGCACCCTCATGGTTATAAATACACTGCCTGATGCCTCATTTTCCTATAGTTTTAAATAAGCCCTCGGCCTAAAACAAATTTGAATAATATTTGCTCAACGTAAGGGTACATGCAGGGTGCTATGAGGCAAAATAGTCCCCAAAGAAAAGATATTTCTCAGATTTTCCACTGTTTTACCATATACATGGACACGTAGACACATTGGTGGTTTTGGATAGTAAATGAAACGGCTATATTTGTGTTGTCATCTACACCTGGTTCCTGTCACCACCACTGTAAAGAAATCTGAGTCTCTATAATCAATCATTTCACATCAAACCACTCTGAATAAAAATATCATACTCAATGTGCAAAAGCTACTGTACAAGCAGATGATTTAAAAAAAAAAATACTACAATTTTAGGTATAATGAGCTCTCTGCATGTGATCAGGAAGAGTGGTGTTATTTTCTTAGAATAAAATTTTAGAATTTTTAGAAGTTAATGTTGATTCTATATCTTGGGCAGATTTAGCATAGTTCAGATTTGTTGTTTATTTTGTCTTTTGGCTTTTGATTGTTATGACCAATATTTTAAACTTTTTTTTGGTAAAAAGTGGATTTTGTAAAGCAGAATGTGTATGTTTTTACAGAGAAAGCCAGAGGGAACTGGAGGAGAGGAATAATGAAGTGCTAGACATGGACACTGCACTAAAGGAGCGACAGGGGGAGCTGCAGCAGAGAGCAGAGCTGGTACACACCCACACCAAACAGAGCTGGATTAACCCAGATCAACTGCATTTATAAAAATACTGTTTAAAAGAAGTGGTGGCATTCACTGTTGTCAGATGTTTCTCTGCAATTCATGACTACAACAAGTCTCCTTACTGCAGAGATGGTACTGACCTCCCGCTGTCTGAACTGAGCTGAACCACATCACTATATTACCTCTCCTGTTAATACACACTGTGCAATATTTCATAACCGCCACTGTAATGACACTTTCACTGTGCACTTTAGACTGTAAATACTGCTGACACTCCTAGTTACATTTATACTCATTGTGTTGTAACTACCTCATACTGTTTAGTGCAATACCTGCTCTCATTTAAATACAACAGATCTGTCTCATATGCTATATAAATATGCAAATAGATATACCTTTATTCCTACTCTCTCATACTTTCTATCTATCTATCTATCTATTTCTGGAGCTGAGACATGGATCAAGCATGAGTACCTGAGTTAATCATATTTATATGTTTTTAAAGTCCTGTAGGTGGTGCAGAAAAAAGAAATGGAAGTCTAAAAATTGTCTGTTTGATCATAATATATCTCTGTCTCACTGTGTGGTCAGCTTGGGCAGCTGGATGTGGCCATTAAGGAGCGAAAGATGGAGATGGAGAGGAAGGTAGAGCTCCTGCAGGACACTCTGGAGAAGACTGAGAGAAAGCTTAAAGAAAGAGATAAACAGGTACACACACAAAACACTTGTTTGTATACAATGTCAGGGCATCCAGGTCACACATGTCTTCTACTATATATATATATATATATATGTGTATGTGTGTATGTATGTGTGTGTGTGTGTGTGTGTGTGTGTAAATACATTTTTCTGCACATAAAAAAGAAACATAAAATATAAAATGTGCCATACCTTTTGCACCAATTTTATTTTTTTTCTTTTATTTTGTCCCCAATATTTTAAATTCAGTAAATAAACAGTAATTGTTCAATAAATTGTGCAGAAGTTTGTTAATTTATTTTAGACTTAGAAAATCAACAAAACATGTAATTTGACCAGGGCCACTGAAACTTTGTTATATGACTTTATGTAAGTATTTGTATGTAATAATAATTTTCTAGTCTAACCCTAATTCTAGCCTCAGGTACCAAAAAGATGTGGCTTTGCTCCCTCACTTTACTCACTTTAAAAGATTTAAGCACAGATTTTTTTGTAAAAAGCACTTTACAAAGGAGCATTTTGTTGTTCCTGTAGGTTAGAACTTTGGATTTTCTAAAAGTCAACATTTTTAATCCACAAATTCTATAAAAACACACTCTTAAATGAGAGTTTGATATGGTATGGAAACATTGTTACTGTTCAAGTTTCAAAACTACCCACCCTCCAGTCCATACAGTTTACATTTTGAAACTAAACTGTAGCAACAGCATATATGTGCATATTCAGCCTAGAGCAGTTTAGCCCCGCCCATTCACCCTGAAGTTATAAGGAGTGTTTCAGCCTGGACTGCTTTTTGAAGGAGCTGTAATACAGAACAGCCAACCAGAACAGAGCTCATCACCTGCATCACAGCACAGTAACATAAACAGCATGTTTAATTTTAAGGGATAAGGAGAGGTTGGAAAACAATCATGTTAAAATTAAACATGGCTGTTTTTGCTACATAAAAACCTCACAAATGTTGCAAGTTAAACGCAGAGAAAAAATAAAATAGTAGAAAAATGTAGAATGGTTAAGTGCTCTGATTAGGGCTTTGTAGAAGGACTTTATGACTGTGTGTCCCTCTACAGGTGGAGTTCCTAACTGAAAGGCTAGATTTAGTCAAATCTCAGCTCCAGGGGAAGGAGGATCTGGAAAAGGTAAGTCGGGGTGGGTGAGACATGTTTTAGCAAAAAGAGACTTAAAACATAATCTGGTAAAGATGAATGATAGAAAGACTGTTGTGATGTTGGGCAAAGCTTACAGAGCATTGGCAAAAATCTCTATACACCAAAATTCACACCTAATCTATCTTAAGGTCAGTATTAATGGGAAATCATAGCACATTTTCCTTCTGAACTGTGATGTATTTGCGAGAGGAACATGGTAAGAACGTCTCTAGACTACCTGAGGTGAAAAAAATGTATTGGTTAATGTTATTTTTCCTGCCCACTGGTGCGCAGTGATATTAGCAAAGCTCCGAAGACTTTTACATACATACATACATCATCTAAACCGCTTATCCTACTGGGTCGCGGTGGGGTGCTGGAGCCTATCCCAGCTGTCATTGGGCGGAAGGCAGGATACACCCTGGACAGGTCGCCAGTCCATCGCAGGGCAGACAAACAGACATACACAGTCACACACACATTCACACCTAGGGGCAATTTAGCATGTCCAATTGGCCTGACTGCATGTTTTTGGACCGTGGGAGGAAACCGGAGTACCCGGAGGAAACCCACGCAGACACGGGGAGAACAGGCAAACTCCACACAGAAATGACCCTGGTCACCCGGCCGGGAATCGAACCCAGGCCCTTCTTGCTGTGAGGCGACAGCGCTACCCACTGTGCCACCGCGCCGCCCCCGAAGACTTTTACGTTACATTTAATTGGAAAATTACAAGAAAACAATCTTTTAACTCATGTGCTTAGTGTGACCAGCAACACGAACTTACAAGGCAAAGAGTTTTGATTTTGATTTCAGGTTGACTTTGTGTGACCTTTCACACACATACAAAATAAAAATACTTTAAAATTGATAATCACATAAATAACATAAACTGAGTCTGTTCTACAGTTTCTCATTAGGTTGAATGAATAACCGACTCTAAATGTAGGTGTTGTGATATTTGACCTGTGTTCTGTAAAGCAACAACAATTTTAGGGCTGAGCCTGGAGAGTAATTGATAAGTGAACCTGGCACTTCTACAGAATGACCCACATTTTTTTGCCGTTCATGTTGAAATGGCCCTCATCTATTGTACACAAATACACCATACACTTTTCTTTTGATGGTTCGGAGGCAAGGTTGCGGTGGTGCACTGGGGCAAGTTTTTAAGAGCTAGTATTAGTTTTCGGACTAATAATTAATAGGTTTTCTAAAGCTCTGGGGATTTTGCGTGTTGTAGAGTGCAGCAAAGTCATTGACTGCAGTGTGAATGTTTACTTTGTCCTTCTGTTTATTCATACTTTTATGAAACTGCTCCTAATTTCCACTGATGTCCTGTCTAACTTCAGTTTTTTTTTTACTAAATTCTGGTGGAAATGTTAATATTTCTGTTATGCTTTCTCTTGTGCAGCAACCCTGACAGAGCTCGAAGAGACCACACGTTAATTTCCTTTTAAACATATATCTGGCAGGTTGCAACCTCAAACCTGTTTTTATTTAGGAACTCTTACCTCATACCTAGAAAAAAATGTTTCCTCATCAACCAACGAACTGGCATCAGTGTTCTAGTTTTGCCTGAGTTTTGTTTGCTCTTTCACTCCCTGAATGCAAATACTGATTAAGGCTGCACATCATGGACAGAATCATAGTATTGCACTTATATTTCTGCATTTTGTGATTGCGGTATGATTTGTGATGCAAAATATATTGAAAATACACTGGTGAATCAATAAAAATGCACTGGTGAATCAATAAAAATGCACTGGTGAATCAATAATGTGACGTAATTAAAATGTTTTAATTTTAATGAATGTTAAATTAAAATTACAGTTTATTTCGAATATATTTGAGCATTTCAGTTGGTCTGCTTGTCTTAAATTTTCCACACCACGTAGTGTGCACAGTGGAATGTAAATTCCAGCATTTAAAATAAAAATATACAAAATGGCCAAAATGGAAATGCAAGGGTTTGTCCTGACAGTGACGATATTCAGCCTTCTGCAATATCAATATTGCAAAGAGGACTGTCACAATAATGATTAACAAAGACTGTATTGGGCAGCTCTAATTCAGATGAAGACTGAACACAAGCTTGCAGGATGCAACACAGCTTGAGTTAAAGCTTAATTCTGTTAATCTTCACTTTAATGTCCTGCAACTTGTCATTATCCCCCCCCATGCTGAGTTGAAGGACTGATTGAACTGTAATTATTGTGATAACGTACAGTACATCGGTAGATTACACTTTTAAGCCCCAATGATCTATCTCTCTCTCTCTCTCTCTCTCTCTCTCTCTCTCTCTCTCTCACAGAGTGCTCTGGAGTACAGTCAGCAGCTGCGTGCGAGTCGTGAGCAGCTCCAGAAAACTGCCCAGGACCTGCAGGAAGCACACGCTCTCTGTGATGACCTCAGCAGGCAGCTAGATGATGTCACGCAACAAACCAGACAGAAGGTGATCAATACAAGCTTTATTTAGTAGTCATCAGTATAGCAGTTGAAATTCTTCTCCCTCTGGGATGATTTTTGTCATAACTGTTATACTGACAAGCCACGGATAAGCGCTGTTCCTGTTGAAAATTAAATAACTTACTGCAGCGTTCTTGCGGATCCTTAAAAGAGGTATTAAATTCAAGGATGTCCACCATCAGCATATTTAAATGTTATCTGCAGTTATCAGCTGCAATAAGCCCAGTTTAAGCCTTAGTTTAAAACGGACGCAGTAAGGCTACGTTCACATTACAAGGTTAATTGCTCAATCTGATTTTTTGCTCAAATCCGATCTCTCAGGATTCTCTGCACTGCGGTAACACCGACATGGTGGTGGTGTGTTAGTGTGTGTTGTGCTGGTACGAGTGGATCAGACACAGCAGTGCTGCTGGAGTTTTTAAACACCTCAGTGTCACTGCTGGACTGAGAATAGTCCACCAACCAAAAATATCCAGCCAACAGCGTCCTGTGGGCAGCGTCCTGTGACCACTGATGAAGGACTAGAGGATGACCAACACAAACCGTGCAGCAGCAGATGAGCTATCATCTCTGACTTTACATCTACAAGGTGGACTGACAAGGTAGGAGTGTCTAATAGAGTGGACAGTGAGTGGACACAGTGTTTAAACACTCCAGCAGCACTGCTGTGTCTGATCCACTCAGACCAGCACAACACACACTAACACACCACCACCACATCAGTGTTGCTGCAATGCAGAGAATGATCCACCACCCAAATAATACCTGCTCTGTGGTGGTCTTGTGGGGGCCCTGACCATTGAAGAACAGGGTAAAAGGGGGCTAACAAAGTATGCAGAGAATCAGATGGGCTACAGTCTGTAACTGTAGAACTACAAGGTGCTCCTATATGGTCAGTAGAGCTGATAAAATGGATAAAAGAGTGTAGATACAAGGATGTGGTTTTGATGAAGTGGCCAGTCAGTGTATTTTGTTGTTCTGAGGTCTTAAAAAGGTATTAAAAAGCATTATGTGTAAGTTCTGTTGTAATGAGGGTGAGACGTTAAAGTGTAGCCCCATATACAGATCCTTAGGTCCAGTATCGTAGTCCATACTAAGTCTAATCTTGGACTAAACTGCAATGTCTGGTGTTTTATCGTTACAAATCCTATTTAGTCTAGGGGCTTAAACTAGATCTCATAAAACAGGCACCTTAGAGTTTAAGTCAGGCCAGACCTCTTCACTGTATTGTATAACTGTACATCCAGTCTGAGAGAATGAAGGCTGCATGTTTTCTCTGAAGTGTTTGAGGTTTGCGGCGTCTCTTTATAACTCAGCATTCTTCTGCTAACCACTTAGCGTGCTACGTGACTAAGACGATGACTGTTCTCTATGTCTCTCTATTCCTCTTTATCCGTCTGTAAAGTGCCTTTTAAATAAAGACCTGCCAGACTAATGAGAAACTGTAGAACAGACTCGGTTTATATCACAATACCTACATTTAGAGTCGGTTATTCATTCAGCCTAATGAGAAACTGTAGAACAGACTCAGTTTATATCACAATACCTACATTTAGAGTCGGTTGTTCATTCAGCCTAATGAGAAACTGTAGAACAGACTCAGTTTATATCACAATACCTACATTTAGAGTCGGTTATTCATTCAACCTAATGAGAAACTGTAGAACAGACTCAGTTTATATCACAATACCTACATTTAGAGTCGGTTATTCATTCAACCTAATGAGAAACTGTAGAACAGACTCAGTTTATATCACAATACCTACATTTAGAGTCGGTTATTCATTCAACCTAATGAGAAACTGTAGAACAGACTCAGTTTATATCACAATACCTACATTTAGAGTCGGTTGTTCATTCAGCCTAATGAGAAACTGTAGAACAGACTCAGTTTATGTCACAATACCTACATTTAGAGTCGGTTATTCATTCAACCTAATGAGAAACTGTAGGCAAATCTGTCAGTTTTCAACCTGCCTGGATTTGATGATCTAGAACAACACAGTCCTGCTCAGTAGCATAGCATTTTAAACTTGAAACTCAGTGTTATGTAGCAGCTCTTACCGAGTGTTACTACAGTTTCGTATTGGGTATAATGTGATTTTTACAAGCGTTCTGTAAAGCTTGTCCAACCTAGCAGCATTAGCCACAAAAGAACACCTTTGCAGAAGGAGCATGAATATGTCAGTTGTGTTTAAACAATGCCTCTGTTATATCCATGCTAGATTTAGGTCTTTTTCTGCTTCCTTTCTAATCACTAGTCCAGGGGTCAGCAACCCAAATGTTAAGAAGAGCCATTTTGTCCTTTCAGCAAAAATCTAACCACTGTGGGAGCTACAATATTTTGATGTCCATTTTACCATCTTGGCTGTAAATATGTCTCAGTATGTGCTAATGTCCTAGGATAGGCTAAAAATATCATATAAACAAAAACACAGACTTACTTTGCTCTGCTTTAAGCTTAACTCAGCTACAGTCGCTTTTCTCACATCTCCAGCAGGAAACCTTTCCTCAAAAGTAGAACAGTTTCTTGTAAAATGTCTCTGTGTTTGTTTTTTACGAGGCTGAAGTCGCTTCTCATTCTATGTCTATATCTTCTTGTTCAAATTTTTCCGTTCCACCTTAAATGTAGAATGTAACTGCGGCACCACTTAAGGTGGGACGGAAAAATTTGAACGAGAAACTGACTTCAGCTTTGTGACTTTTTAGTGTTTGTCAGTTTCTCTTTGCAGATAAAACGTATCAGGAAACCAGCTGGAGTGATTATAAATGCAAATAAGTCCATTCATCTCCAAATTATCGGCTTATGTTCAGCTCAAATCTCTCTCTTTGCCGTTTCGTTAGCTACTAGCTTTGCGAGATTGTTGTCGTTGTTATGGTGACCAGCAGTCTGCGTGCCAATCTTCAGGGTTAAAGGGTGAATTAGCAGTTCTACATTAACTCCAGAGTTTAAGACCATTTACTGTTAAACTGTGTTGAACGATCAGCAGAGCTCTATTTTACTGTAAAGGAGGATTATTTTATTTTTACCTACAAATCTGATTCTGCTGTGGAGCCACAACAGGGCAGAAAAAGAGACGCATGTTCCCGACTTCTGCCGTAGAAACATCATCTGTAAATTTTTGCAGCAAGGTCTGTCAGACGGTCAGTTTCTCAAGTTTCACTCTGAAGACTGTTTTGTACCATAAAAGTACATATGTTTTGATGGTGTGTATAAGTTGTGTGTATAAGGAAATTGTGTGTATTAGAATTAACAAATAGTATTTAATTACTGTATTCGTGGCTGTAATATAGCGAGGTTTTGAAACATGTAAACAGCTCACAGTGAGAACTAACTAGACTAAAGTGCAGCCTCCACATGACAGGGATAGTTTTAATGTAGTTTTACAACTAAGCCTCCCAAAGTAAACAACGAGAGAAGTCCTCCTGTATACATTCAAAATAGATTACTTTTTTATTCACAGATTCATCAGAAAAATTCAGTCATGCAAATAAAATATTTCAGTTTTACCGCCCTAATATTAGCTGTTCTACTTCATAGTAAAAAATAACCCTGCCATGTTTGACGCAGCTTCTTTTCACTAATCATATTTATGTATTTTTATGTGTTTGGGTTGGAAACATTGTCCGGTTCAAACAATACAAAACTGTATTTGGTTAATTTAATTTTGCGTCAGTTTACCAGACTTATTAACAAATGTTACAACTGATCCTATGTGGTAAGTTGAGTCGTTTGTACTTGCTCTGCTTTTTCGCTGAATTATTAGCAGCAGATGCTGGAAGTTTACATTTTCATTTGTGACAGAGATGTGCAGAAATATGAACTTTGGCCAAAAACTTATAAGAAGATTTAGCTTAAAACAAAATGTTTGGGTTCTGCTTTATGCAGCGTTGTATCAGTCTGCTGTACAGGGGCCACACTGTAATGATTAACAATTAATAGCTTGCTTGCTTTATGCTTGGTGCATTAGTGATGGTGTCCACTGTCTTTGAGTTGAGCTGTCTTGTATCTGTGTTTTGCATGTAGGACGCTGAGGTGCAGCGGCTGCTGGAGCAGCTGAATGTAGCTGAAAAGCGTCGTGTTCAGAGTGAAGCTAAACACCAGGCCGCAGTTACTGCACTACAGCACCAGCTTGAGCAGGAAAGAGAAGAGCACCATAAAGAGGTATAACTGCTCCAGTGTGCAGTACATCACTACTCACTCAGGGCTTTATAAATAGCCAATTTGCACCATTCTCCCTCCCAGTACCCCGAATGTAGTCCTTCAGCCAAGACAGATCTCAGGTTTTGTCTGCTGTCTGCTGGGGCTGTGAGGCTAATGTAGCTAACAAGTAATGGAACCTTACAGCCCCCTCGTTACCTCTGTGCAAACCACGTACTTAAAATATCACACTGGCCTCAAACCAGAGTGATAAATAATCTCAAACCGACTTGCTGCTATTATTGTTCTTGGCAGTGTTTTGTGATGTACTTTAGTCTGTGTTTATAGATGATAGCATGTCATATAGCGTTAGTTACTGAACAACTTGAAACAATTTGAGGCACTTTGAGTGCTAAATTAATGGCTGTCAATTAACATAGCTTGTTGGCTACATTTCCCTACAGTGACTTAAGTGCAAAACTAAAGAAGCAAACATGTCTTGGCTGATCAATGGGGAAGAAATTATTGTGTAGTTGATTTTAGGCTGATTTTAGGACTATCATTAACTTCAGCTTTTATTACCATTCTTTGTCTTTATTATTTTTCCCCTTCTCAGCCCATTCCCAGAAGTTTCCAGCTGGTCACTTCCACATAGATATCACATTTCATATTTCATGCTTTATTCATTATTCAGAATGTAGTGCACTTGCATGAAATGGATTAAGATAAAGTTAATGCACTTTGAGTTGCTATAAGCCTTTGGCAGATGGCCAGCCACAAATCAGGGTTCGAGCTGACTCCTTTAGGATTAGAGCACAGCTGCCTTCGGGGTTGAACGGTATTGTTTTTTTTTAAAGTAGTTGTTCTAGTAAGCAGTGTTGTCAACTATATCACAAAAGCGATAATCATTATTAAATAAAATCTTTTTGAATAAATCTTTTGAGTAAATCTGCCCACAGAACAGCTGCAAATGTGCCAAACGGCAGTTCAGAAACATGCGGTGCTAGCTTTCGCCCTCCTAGTGCTGGTGGTATTGTGTGAGAAAATTGGGGAGAAAATTGGGGGAAAGTAGACTTAAGAACTGTCCAACACTGCCATTGATAACAAGCCCACCCCACACAGTAAAGAACAGGGCCCTTTTACCTCTGTAATATACAAGTAAATCTTCAATAGGGCAAGATGTCTCACATTTACATTTTATATATATATATATATATATATATATATATATATAATTGCTCTAGATAAGTGTTTGTTAAATATATGAGGATAAATCCGTTTTAAATGTTATTTGTCTACTTCACAGATGAAAGCATCTGCTAAATATGTAAAACAAAGACCATTTCTGCTTCTTGATTATTTTCTTTTGGAGGAATAATTTACTGCCAAAAGTAACACATTGTAATAAGTAGTACTGCAATACTTGTCATGTCCCACATCTTTAAATATCATAAGTATCATGATAATTTTGCATCATAAGGCCTGTAGCGATTCGCACCCCTGATGGCTGGTTGTATCTGAGTCTGACTTATGGACGTCTTCTTTTGCACCACTAAACGTGCGTGTACAGTCAGCAGTAAAGTTGCCTTTTGCTGTCTCGATGCAGAAATAATATATTTGGTCAAGTACTGTCAAATAGCCTGGACCATCTTGTCCTATTGTCCACGTTCGTTGCCTTAATGTCTTTGTCTTTCCCTTCCCTCAGCTCTCTGCTCTGCAGCAGACACGAGGGCAGCTGCTGAAGGTTTCGGATCAGATTTCCAGCAGTCTGCGCAGCTCCCAGGAGCAGCTGACCCAGCGGCTGCAGCAGGCCAGAGAGCAGCTGGACGAAGCCAAAGCCGAAGCCGCTGGCCTGCGAGCTCAGCTTTATTCCTCAGAGCAGCTCCTGCAAACTGCTAATGAAAACCTGCTTATCAAGGTACTGGGATGGGATCTGTGGTGGATATCGAGGCTGGGTATTGATGATTAATTAGTTAGTAGTAATTAGTTTTTCCAACGGATCCTTCCACCTTCAACATATGTCATCAGAAGGTGGTTTTCCTTTTACCCTATTCTTCAGTGGTCAGGACCCCCATGGACCCTCACAGATCAGGTACTATTTGGGTGGTGGATCATTCTCAGCACTGCAGTGACACTGACGTGGTGGTGGTGTGTTAGTGTGTGTTGTGCTGGTCTGAGTGGATCAGACACAGCAGTGCTGCTAGTGCCACTCAAATAGTACCTGCTCTGTGAGGGTCCATGGGTGTCCTGACCACTGAAGAACAGGGTAAAAGCAGATGGACTACAGTCTGTAATTGTAGAAATACAAAGTGCACCTGTATAGTAAGCGGGGCTGATAAAATGGACAGTGAGTATAGAAACAAGGAGGTGGTCATAATGTTATGCCTGATCGTGTATTACTGAATTGTATTTAATTTAACATTCAGTTGTTGACTACATACGATGTTGATATAACTACTAGTCTACTTCAGTATGCAGTATATGGCACTGAATCATGATGTAAGTTAGACATTATGATGTTCCGGACCTTTGCTTGAGGATATTTTCTCTAACTGGACCTTATTGAATTTTAATTACCCCTGTACTAAACGATCGAGATAACGCAAACGCAACTCAACTTTAGCAAGACTCTCATGATTTGATTCCAACATTGGAAACTCGTCTGTGACAGTGAAATCACTTGAAAAATCGTTTGGTGTAAGGTCAGCATTAGTATGACCAGGTACAAGAACTAACAGGATACAGAAAGGGTCACTTTCAGTTTCAGGTTGGCTTTAATGCTTTGCTGTGTTGACATTTCAACCACAGCCCTGATGAAAAGTGGTGTTAATGACATGGTGCTCTACTGAAACGGCCTATCTGTTCAATTCAAGGTCAGGAGGACAGCGTCTTCCCTCATCTATATAAGGAAACAAGCAAGGGAGTTCCCACTTCGTTTCACAGGGTGTGCCTGAGAGGTGCTAAGAAATATTTTCTCATTGGTGCATCGTTTAGGAGCACCTGTCAAAGTTACACCCGTACATTAGGAACCTGTTCTGCTCGCTCATTATCCTCATTAAAGTGTTTACCGCTTCAGTGCTGTGTCTCACAGAAGAAACATGCTGTTGTTGCAGGAACCCATATCTGTTATCCTGTATGGTGACAACAGTAAGGAAGGGTTGTTTTGCAGTGTTTGCAATCAAGGCATAAATCAAAGTTTACAACCTTGTGATCTATGTGTATAATTGTAGGTCATTAAAGCCGCAGTTGTTAGATGAGAATGCTTGGTTGCTTACGTTATAACATTAAGTAGAAACTCAACCAAGACATTTTGTCGCCTTTCAGGCACTTCGGGCCTCATTTTGTAGTTTTTATCTATTCAATATTGTTAGTTTTTAAACTCAACCAGTGTCAAACACAACCACTAAAAGGTCCATATTAAAAAATCTCAACAAATCCGAAGGCCAGAGGACATTTATGTTTTATAAATGTCAGCAGCAAAATATAGCCACTTGTAATAAACCTTCAAATATTATATGTGAATACTTGATGTATTTAGGCTACATTAGATACAGATAACTGTTAAATCTCTTTAAATGTCCTCAGGATGTAGGGCTGTTAAACCTACCTGTGTGATGGATCTAGACACCTGGCATCTTCTCTGCTGCACGTTCACTAATTCTTGGCACCAGTTTCTGAGCTGCTCAGTGTTCATGTTGGTTGAACTGCAGCTGAAGTGCAGGTAGTGTGTTTGGTGATATGACTAGTGGAATTGGGTAGAAAACTGCTGTCCCGATGATTGTTGTTGGGAGAGGGGGGTGTCAGAGCAAATTATGTTGCTGTGCATGCTGGGGATTGTAGTGCAGCTCATTGTAAAAGGGGCTAATATTAATTGAAAATCAAAATAATTTAGGTTAGGATTGTGCCGTGGGCCTGATCTGGCCTGCTGGCTTTGTGTTTGACACGAGTTTTAAAGGATGCATTAATTAATGTCAGTCATTTCCTATAGACATAGACATAACCTTATCAGGGAAGGTGACGGCTGAAAGCAGCTCATCTAATTCTTATTATTCTCTCATCATTAAACAGGGTTGTTTTGTTTAGACCTTTCTTACAACCATTAATGACAGGTTGCAGTATTGTAGGCCTCCCTGTGTTTTTGTGTTGATTTCATGTTCGAATAATTGGTGGAAAACACCAAGGCTGAGCCATGTTTGAAGCCGTTGTAAAATAATCCAAATATGACCGCACACATCAACTGAAGTTATTAAAACTTGGCAAATTAATGGAATAATCTTTGACAATAATGGTAGCCAGTTAACGACCTACATTGTTTGGAAGAATTGTTTATTGTGGTTATTCTTAGAGCTATCCTGTGTAAGTTTCTGGGATTTGGAGACCCCTCTGGTGGAAATGTGTAATTACATGCAGCTTGCGGAAAAACATTTTGTACTGTGGGTTGTGCTTCGGACCCCTTTCCTGAGTGGATGAATCTGAAAGAGATTTCAAAAAGAATGAAGTCAAAATTTGGTGAAGGACGTGTCTTACGAGGATCTGAGTGAATTATCTGCTGTTGTCATCATATCTTAATCGGTTTAATGTTGATTTTGAGATCATTTGAGGCCTAAACATCGAGCTGGACTTTCTTTTTGAGTCTGTGTGACATAAATACATAAAGACGTATATCATGGTGTGAAAAACTCGACCCGACGCCTCCGACTTTTAAATGATTATTTTAGGCCTTTTTTCGTTGATAATTTTGGCCTGTTTATTTTTATTCCTGACTCAGTAATGCTACTTCTTTACACTTCAACAAAAATAGCTTTGATGAAAAATTATTTATTAAGCATTTTACCATATTTTGTCAATATTTTATAAAAGCACTGAGCCAAGAGAGTGCATGTTAGTGTTTGTATTCCACTCTATGTACTCTAACCCCAAAGCCGTTGTAAAGTTATTATATTATTATATGGTAGAATTAACTCTCTCTCTCTCTCTCTCTCTCTCTCTCTCTCTCTCTCTCTCTCTCTCTCTGTCTGTCTGTCTGTCTGTCTGTCTGTCTCAGGAATCAGAGATTACACGTCTTCAAGCCAAGATTTCCAGTTTGGAGAGAGCCGCTGAGCTCCACAACACTACTCTCCACCACGAGTCCACTTTTCCGTCTTTCTCTCCCTCTCTTAAAGACCTCCCTCAGTTCTCCCCCTCCCATAAGGACCACCTCACTCGCTCCAGCCTGTGCTCCTCCACCACCTGGAACAATGCCTCCTCAGATGCCTCTCTGGAGCTTTCTGAAAGTGTAAAAGCAAGTGTACAGGAGGCTCTGAGGTGTCCCAGTTCTCCCAGTGCAGACTGGCAGGGCCTGAACAACCCTGACCTCACCTCCACCTCAGACACCACCTTTAACCCTCTCACCTATATGCTGGATGAAGGAGAAACTGAAGAACCTGATATGGACACTCTCTCTGGCATGCTGAAGTTCGTCAACCAGACGCTGGCCCTACAGGAGCAGCACTCTCTCTGCAGCTCTCACATACAGGCAAGTGTGCACCACGATCTGTTAAAGCGATAGTTTGACCAAGAATCAGTACCTCTTTACCCACATCAGTATGCCAAGACATGTTCGGTGTGAAGTTTGGTTCTTTCGTTTTGTACTGGAGCTTCAAGGTTATTGTAGCTAAAAAATCACAATCACCATCAATTAGCATTGCCCTAACTAAGGATGGGCATTTTATTCACCAAAAAATGTTGTCATAGGTCTCTCAAGGCTGCAGGCCTTCTCACACTGTACACGTCCGCCGGACAACATGCAGCACCCAAAAGAAAGCCGCCACTCAGCGTCTTAATATTACTGTACCATATTAAACTCACACCACAAATCCAGAGTAGGTTAATTACATCAAGAAAGTGGTCAGACAATGCTAATCACCTGTTTTCACTTCAGCTAAAGTTGAGGTTACGACTTTGCCAGACTGAGAATCAGGGTAAGAGTCGGTGCTAGTCGGCTCTAGTCTGAGGGGCGCAGACTCACATTTTTGGCCTCCCAGTCGCATTTCAGACCAGTCGGACTTTATCATGTTTGATTATTTTGTCCCGAGTCTGAATGACATCTAGTGCAAACTGGTCAACGACTCAATCTGAACACATTCCCGCAACAGCCAACGAAAACTGAGAGCGCAAAAGAAGAAAATACAGCACGTAAGCAAAGAAAAGTGGGGAGAAGTCTCTCATGTGTGAAGCGAAGGTTTTTATTGAGCTGAATTTAAGACACAATTGAGTTTATGTACATTTAAAACTCCCAACATAAACCAACCAGCACTGCTCCACGTTTGTTTATTTGGGTCTCCTAGTTACAGGAGAACGCATGAGTTCACGCGAGTTCAGTGAGCTCCGTTCGGTTCAACAGCAGCTGAAAAGTTTTGATCCCTGATATTTCAGTTGCCCACAAAAATCTTCAAAAACCAGTCGGATAACGTGAGATGCCCAGTCTTTTTACAATCTGTTCAGACGTAAAAAGTCGTGTAGTGAACCCAAGGCTTAATGTTACTAGTCTAGTTTGATCTAAACTTGTTTCACTTCGTAGCTTTTAGCTTGAAAACAGTGAGTTTGTGAAGAGCTGGTTAGCCGATACCAAATGTGATAAATTCACTAAATGGTGTTGAAAGTTTTTCATCAAATCTATAAGAGCAGAGCCTAAAAATAACTTGAGCTTGATGTTTATTGGCATTTTTCTGCTAAGCTTCCTCTGTGCTATAGCTGATCTGCTGTGCTGCATGATGGCCTTTAGATGGCCGCAGTAGTCTTAATTATTGTCATAATTCTTTGCACTAAACAGATTTGAAACTCTGACCAAACTATACAACGCAGGCCCTCTGGTTGTTCTTAAATATGAGAACCAAATTCTAGTGCTAACTGAATGCCTAGATCATCACACACTTAAAAACCATGTGGAGTTGGTAAGTAATCTCTAGACTTGATTACATGGTTTCTAAAAACATGGACACAAGTACAGACAAGTTTCAAGCTGGCTGCCACTGTTTTCAGCTATACAACCTTATTCTTCCTGTTTTTATTGATAACAGTGTGTCATACATTATTATTTAGGCGTGCAGTTCACACCATGGTAATTCGTGGGGTTTAAGCTTCCATTTATTGTTAGCTACATTAGCCTGGTAGCTCTAGCGTAGAACTAAAGAAGCGAACTTCAGGCACCAAACCTTGGCTGTTGGACTACAGTTGGGACGTTGCGTGAGCGGCAGTTCGAAAAGATGCGATGGCGCTTCACAGGTCTCGGAGGAAGCCTGTACTAGCCTTCGCCCTCCTATTGTGTGATTGGGGGAGTCCTAACTAGCGGGTGGAATTGGAGACGACTAAATCGGGGAGAAAATTGGGGGGGATAAAAAAAAAAAACCTGTTTTTATTAAGAACACTAATTTTTTCCCTAAAAGGACCTTAACGAGGACGGGTACAGTTTTAAAGGAGACGTATCTTGACAGAAGACTTTTCGAAGACGATCTGCGGAGTACAGACGTGTGGATTTAGACCTTTTCCCTTTCCTGTCGTTGTAACAGAGCAGCAGCCATCTGATCATCCAGTGCTGCATTAGTACATGCACTAATCGAGAACAGTCAGATACTTGAAACTTGAACTTTTTGATATGCTTTTTTTAATTTGTATTTTTGTATTTGGTGAAATAATTTCAATAAATGAAATAATTTTGTGTGTTTTTGATATTTATAAATGTTTTCTGTTTTTTTTTCTCTCAGTTATCACTGTGCAGCATGATTGCAGGATTTGTACAACAGCGTTTTAGGGCCACTGTAAAAAAAATAAATAAATAAAAAAAATAAATAAAAAAATAGTCTAATATTTTTAGAATAAAATTGTAGTATTTCGAGAAAAAGTTGTAATATTTTGAGAATAAAGTCGTATTTATTAGAAAAAAATTGATAATAAAGTTGTGAAGTTACAATAATAAACTCGCGATATTTGGAGGATAAAGTAGGGGGGCTGCTATAACGCACTGGGGCCTCGGTTGCTTTACTGGGGACAACGAAGACGCTGAGCACGCCGAGTTCAGGATCGATCACTTTTCCTGGTAATATCCCACTTTAATGCTGGAATTCTATGACTTTTTTCTCAAAATATTCTGTCTTTCTCCAAATATTACGATTTTATTCTAGAAAATACGACTTTATTCTCGAAGTCTATTATTTTTTTTTGTTTTTTCAACAGTGGCCCTAAAACGCTGTTGTGTATTTACAGTGCGACTGAAGACATTTTTTTCTTAGAGGGGGGTTTATACACAATTTTCCGCCCTTACCCCAAATGTTTGGTGTCTGAAGTTTGCTTCTTCAGCTTTCTACTGGAGCTACAAGGCCAGTGTAGCCAACAAGTAATGGAAGTTAATAACCCACGAGGTAAGCATTCTGCTTACTGTAAGCCTGAGTCATCGCACACTCATGTCAGGGCATATGGAGTTGTTCAGTATCTCTAACAGACTTGCTTATGTGGTTTCTAACACTGTATGACTCACTGTTATGGACGCAGCAGCTTAAAGCCTAATTTTTGTCCGTACTTTTGTCCATTTTTATTTGAGGCGAGTGTGTGATGACTAATTGGTGGGGTCTTAGCTTTTATTACTTACATTACTTTAGCCCTGTAGCTCTGGTGCTAAACTTGAGAAGCAAGCTTCAGACATCAAATATGTCTTGACTGACTACTACTTTAACTTACAGGCTGGAAACCTGAACTCTAATCCCTCCAGTCTGGGTGCTTTGGTAGGTGCGTCTACAGTAGAAAGCAAATTACAGGGTGTTCTGTCCTCATCTCTAAAACCTACCTTCACCTTTCAGCTGTCCGAGACAGACCAATCACAAAGCATTACTACAAATACTGATGATGCATTAATGCCACATCAAACAAATGATTCAAAATTGGTGTGCTGCAGCCATCAGTCTGATTGAGCTGTGTTGAAAACGAGAGCGGGGACACACTCCACTACTGTCCTGGGCTCACAGCTGTCTGGGAAGGTAGCAACACGTCTCTGTGAGTCATCGCGGCTGTATTTGTGCTCTAGGCCATGTTTAAAGAGGCTGCCTTGTTCTAGGCCATTGTGGTTGAATAGCAAACAGGGTGTGAAAGTCTTGTTTGTGCTTCAGATTGACAGCTGACAGGCTCGTTAGTCCTGTATGTGGTCAGTAAACAGTATGTGATCATGTGATAGCAGTCATGTACTTAATATTTCTACTCTTTGTATGACATTAAACGTTTAAGCTGCAGGCTTATTATTAGGTTATTAATCTCAAGACTTGTTATTCAGTAACAGCAGTGATATATGATGTAATGCAGAGGTTTAGACGTCACTGGTCAAATGTCATTTAGTTGTTTTTCTAAATTAAAAATTCTTCTGCACATTTTAATGCACAATTACTGTTTATTTGGCCATTTTTTTTCCAATATGAATTTAATTTCCTAAAAATAAATATAAAGTGTGCATGAAAATTTGCAGAAAAATGCCTAAATATATATATTAGTTTTAACTAATTTTCACTTACAACACTTTTCCAGTGAAATAATTTAACATTCATGACGTCACTTTAATTAAGGCAATTTTTTTAAAATAAAAAGGTTATTTACTTTAAAAATATTCTATGCACTAAAAAAACCCTGCCTGTAAGTTCTGATTTTCTTCGAGTGTCACACGGCACAACCAGCAAAAAGGGACTTTTATTCTGACATGCTTTTAAAAAAGAGTGGGCAGCGTATTGCCCCAAAAAAGAATCCAGAGCTCTTTAGCTCTTTCTCAAATAATGAAAAAATGAGTGAGTCACTGTAAGGCTGGTTCGGTTTACCAAGTCAGGTAAATCATGACATTCTTATTATCATAATAATGTTTGTTTATTTGTAAAGAATAAATGTTTATGTGGGTTTCCAAGGACAAAGACCAGGCATGTCAAACTGGGGACCTTCTGGTTAAACGAGCTGCAGATGCTAGTGTTCACCCTCATCTAGCGCTCTGAATTCAGTTCATGAAGGCCTGGCTAATGAGCTGAATCAGGTGTGTTTGATGAGGCAGCCTGCTGAAGTCTGCAGTGTTTTGGCCCATGAGGACTGGAGCCTGACACATGTAACAAAAACACTACACCACACACACACACACACACTATATATATGTGTGTGTGTGTGTGTGTGTGTATGTATATGTGTGTATGCATGTGTATATATATATATATATATATATATATATATATATATATATATATATATATATATATATGTGTCGTTTTTCAGTTTTTGACATCATTTGAAAATGCCTATTGGCCTTTACATTGGGTGTAAATTTCATGAAGAACAGACCCAAAGAAATGGCCGCCTACATCAAAAGTAAAGCAGGTTTTTTCCTTCTCCTGTAAAGTTACCGTTTTGGAGATAGGAGGTTTTATGAGTTTCTGTGGGTGTTTTGATTAATCGAGGTGTTCAGATAATCCCCATACGTCAAACACAAGGCCCCGCGGCTCAATACCATCTGGCCTGCAAAATTTAGATTTTCTCTTGATATTAGCCTGTTTCACAGCATGCACTGCAATGTAATGTGCACCCCACCCCTCCTCCAACAACTATCTATGGGACAGCGGTTACACCACAATTCTACTTACGTCATAACACCAAACACACTAGTTGTGTTCCAGCTTCAGTTCAAGCAACAAACACTATAAACACTGATCACAAGAATGAACAAGAAAAACAAAGTCTAGATCAAACAGGTTTAAAAGACCTGGGCACATTTAAAGAGGTTTAAGTTATCGGTAGCTAATGCAGCCTATTGTTTCAGTTCTGCAAAGAAAAGTGGGCCAAAGTACCTCCATTGTGATGTAAAAGACTCATTGCAAGTTATTGTAATCGTTTGATTGCAGTTGTTACTGTTCAGGGAGGCACAACCAGTTATTAGGTTTAAGGGACAATTACTTTTTCACATGGGTGATTTTGGAGAAAATCTTTATCTTCAGTAAATGGAATGATTGCTTAAAAGCTGCGTTTTGTGTTTTCTCTTGTTTGTATCTTATAATTAGCTGGACGATCTGAAACATTTAAATATGACAAATTAGCAAAAATAGAGGAATGGGGGTGAGGGTTAAATACTTTTTCACAGCACTCTAAATGCTTACATACAGTCGTATGTCAATGTTTCAGTGGCCTCGTGTTACTGATCTTCTAAATGAGTCTAAAATAAGTGAACACATCCTCAACCGAGAACACACTTCTGTTCAATTTTATGAAAAATTACTGTTTATTTACTGAAAAATAAATAAACATGATTTTTATTTAACATGGTTTTCTAATTTATATATTTTTTTTAAATTGCAAGAAAATATCCTTCAAGTAATTTGACCAAGGGTGTTCTAACTTTATATGGGTGCTGTCAGGACAAAACCTCGTATCTCCATTTTTGTCGTTTTTCAGTTTTTGTCATAATTTGAACATGCCTGCCGCTCTTTACATTGTATATAAATGTCATGAGGAATGGACTAAAAGAAACGGCCCAAAACGACTTGGAAAAACGTCTGGTTCCCTTGACTTACATTAAAAGTAAAGTAGGTTTTTTCCTTCTCCTGTAAAGTTACACACACACACACTTCTGCACAATGTAATGAATGCTGTTTGTTTACTACAGTAGTCCATTTAGATTATAGCAAAACATCATTTAAAAATGAAAAACAAACACAGACGTTCTCTGGCCCACAGATCTGTTGAGATTTTTTTTAATATGACTTAAGTGGTTGAGTTTGACACCCCTAATATAATCCAACCAGAGTACATTATTTTGGACAAAATAATGCAGGTCAGTGTTTATCCAGGTCACATTATTAATTGTGTGTTTTTAATATATTTTAAGGCTGATCACAACCACAATGTCTGCAGCAAAGTAATTGCAACACTGCTTTTCTGTCCACACTGGAGAGTGAGGAACTGCAGACCCACATTCAGAGTTTAAAGCGAGTATTAAATGTTTCAGTGTGGTGAGAACAGCAGACTTCTGCTATTCTAAATGTGGAAAAAAGTTGTAGTGCATGAGAAAAAACAGCTTTAGTCTGTAGTAAAGAGGAAATGTGTTAATGTCTGTCTTAACTCATAGCAGGAAGCTTTTTTCCCTTTAAGAATGATGAAACCATCAACAGTCTTCTTCTACAATAAGATCTAATACAAACCTCAAAGGCAAAAACATTCATATTATGCAAAGTGCAAATAAGAGCTGCCAAAGAAGTTAAAGGACCATCCAGATTGTTACCAGCGTAAAGTTAAAAAGTCTCTCAGATGACTGACATTCCACATGGACCTGTTTAACTACATAAAATATCCAAGTTAAATATTACTGTTAGTTCATGCCCAACTCTCCTCTGCTAGCTCCATTGACTCACATGTACTCAAGTAAAAGTTTGGCAGATTTATACTTGAGTTTTTTGAATTTATGATACTTCTACTCAGGTATATTAGTGAGTAATTTACTTTTTTCCCAGTTCCATTTCAGTCATTAACATTTAATTCCTTTTGTTGGGTTTAATTTAATTCGATTCTGCTTTACTGTTATTTTCATGTCTCACTTTGAAGACCAAAAAATCCTAAAAGAGAACAACAGAGCCGTACAAACTTCAGTTCTTATGCTGATTTTACTGATTTTGGACTAAACTTCTACTGTGGTTCT